AAAGCACAGCTGATGGTAACCCAGCAGCAGCAATGATATTTGACCAAAAAAGGCATTAGTGGTTATTATTACTAATTGCTTTCATCTCAGCTTCCACCAATAAGGTGAAAGTTTGGCTTGGTAAATTAACGGAATGTGTCCTCTTAGAAAATAAAAACTTTTAATCTTATTTTCTAAGGACACAAACCTTATGCAATAGTATTATCCGTCCATCCATCCATCCATCCATCCATCCATCCATCCATCCATCCATCCCCAGAGCATGCTACCCACCTTGGCAAAGGGATAAATACATTTAAATATCTTATACTGTTTAAAAGATAAGCAAGCTAGGAAGAGGAGAGTCAAATCAATGCCTCCCGAGAGATAAAACCTGCTGTTGTGTGTTCTGTATGATCTGGGGCCTGGTGTAATGTGTTCTGTATGATCATTGGCAGTGACAAGGGACAGGCAGGAGCCAGCAGTACTGAAGTGACTTTGTGATGGCATACAAGATGACATTCCCCTGAAGTGAATCTGGAAAAAAGGATAAAAACATTTAGAAGATTTGCAAATTCTGCTGTTCTTGAAGTAAGACTATTTTCCTTTTTTTTCTCCATTTCTTTCAGTCACCCAAGACCATTCACATTGGCAGTGCAGCCATTACTTGGAAATTTCTGTACCTCACATGAGACATCTTCTGCTGCGCATCCCACAAATCAAGCCTACTCCTCAAAGTCCGTGTGGAGGCTCCAGGCCCACCCACAGGGTTTGATTCTTGCACCAAACCCAGCTTGGTAAGTGGTTTCCTCTTTCTTTTATCCAAGCAAACACTTTGCCAGGGGTCAACCACTGCTTCTTTACAGACATCTGTACAATTTTTTGTTCTTGTACTAGTTCCTAGGACAATTGTACATTCCTCTTACAGCTTCCAGGCTTAATATTTATTTGTGTGGTACATTGGGCTTGGTAAGGAATTTTTCTCACCTTGGCAGAGGCCTGCAGGCTTTCACCATGGCCATTCTGAAAGGACACTTGCACCACATCCCAGAAACTTGTCTTCTTCTGGGTTGAGATGCTGCTAGTGCCAACAAACATCCATGGAGCTGCAGGAATACCCAGAGCAGCAGCAGCAGGGAAGGCTGTGGCCAGACCACAGGGGTGTCAGCATCCACAGCAGCTTACTTTGAGGAAAAGGAGGTGAGAGAAGGAGTAATGAAGCCAGCATGAGAGGGTGTGGGAAAAGTGGGACTAGGGCTCTGTTTTGGCTAAAGACCCTGCCTGGCGTCTGCAACATGAGCATGCAACACTTTGGGTACTTTTGATGGTAGCAACATGTGACACAGATGCCTCACTCCTCAGAGCTCCCTTCCTACCTCTGAAAGGGCTTCCTTCCCCAGCAGGGTATGGCATGCATACATGTTCCTATGTATGTGTACAAATGTGCCTGCCTGTTTACCTGTGTGGAGGAGCAGTGCTGGCATCTCCCAGCCAAGCAGTGAACTTCACTGGAAGGAAGTGCCTGCACCTCCTGCCCGAGGCAAAAGAATTTCTAAAAACTAATTCCCCAAAACGAGTGCCAAAAAGTTAATGAGCTTTGCTTCCCCACCACCCCTGCCAAGACATCTCCCCCTTCTTGAGGTGCTTACATGGCAGCTGGGCTCACCACAGCTCTGCTTCTCTGCACGTGGCTTTCCTTGTGAGGTGCCATTTGCCAGAAAACTAGGTGCTAGGCAGGGAGAAAACGTGAGAAAGGGCCTTGGGATCACCAGAAGTTGTACTGTCCTGAGCAGGAAGGACACCTAGAGCTGCCTTTTTGCATTTCCCTGCTCTGAAAACACTCTGGCAGCCTGGACAGAGACAGCTTTGGGAGCTCTTGGAACAAGGCTTGGCAGGAGGCAGAGTCCAGGAGGTGCCAAGAGCAGCAATAAACCGAGGGGCTGAAATCAGGATGGGGGAAATCCAAGGCCTGTGATGTTGGGCCATGGGAGATCATTGGGTGGGACAGCAAGAGACACATTCCTGTGGCTGCTTCTCTCTCAAAACCAAGGCTGTCTGTAAGGACCTAGGCTGTCTGTCAGCCATCTCTTCCTCCTCACATCTGCTAAGGACAACATGGTCCCCAGCAAGAGCAGGGATCCTGCAGCATTGTAGCACAAGGTGTCTGAGCTTGACAGAAAGATACAGGAGTCAGCTGAGCCTGGGGAAGGCATGTGGGCTGAAAGAAAACAAATGACCCTTAAAAAGGCTTTGACAGTTTGGCTGCCACTGATACCCCAAAACCAAGACATGAATGGTCTCAAACAGGAGAATCTCCAGGCTGCCTAGAGCTTCTTTTGGAACGCTGCTGCTGTATTGAATCCCCACCACAACTCCCAGGGGCAATGCCCAGCTGTGTTGCAGTTATTCTCAAGCAATTTTGCTGAGGAAAACTGAGGCCATCTCACTCCCATGAAAGCAGGACTTTCACTCTCTGTCTCAGAGCTTTGCTGGGGTACAGACAGGGTCACGTGCCTTGGGATTCAATTAGCAAAAGTATGCAGCTCTTCATCCTTCCCAACCATCTGCCTGGAGGGCTGCAGCACTATTGAAGCCCACAGCTAAGGCAGACATAGGAAATCCACTGAGAACAAAGGAAATATGCCAAAGAGAACCTCCAGAGCCCAGTGTTTTTCCAATTTAAAGCAAGCCAAATCTACTCCAGCATCTAGCTTTAGAGACTTCTATCCCACCCCTAGGTAAATGTAATTTTTTTGGAGGATTAATTCAGATGGTTATGAATGACCCTATTTACGGGGTCTCTGCTATGTTTGTGCCTCCTAAGGCTCTCTGGAACAAGTAGTAGTTTTCTGGGGCACTGCCATCCACAAGATAAACTGCAGATATGAGCATTCCTGAAAGGGGCAATCTTGGGAGCTGCCAGGGACAGGACTGTTGTGGTGGGAAATGAGTCAGCTGGAGCTGTCATCTGGTCTGGTCCCTGTTCTTGTCTTTGCTGCACCTGGAGCTGTTTTCAGGAAACACCACTCCTGTCCCAGTGGCACCAGGACACACTGCTCTTGCCTGGAGCAGGAACCACACAGAAACAAGAGGTGATAATCAATCTGGGATGGGAGAGAAGTTATGTGGAATGGACAGGTCCTGTCCTGTCCACTCCCATCCTGGGAAGAAAAAGGTGAGGCTGAATGAGACATGGCTCAGCTCCTAACCAGAGCCTGGAGCTTTCCAGGAAGCCCCAACAGCTGTGTGTCCACAGGACCTCTGCCCATGGCCATCCCACAGCATCCAACCCAGTCTGTTCAGTGCCTTCCTCCACCACATATCAAACAGCTGTGTGCTTCAGCCGGTGTGCCCACAGCCTTTCCTCCTCCACTTCCCTCCAACTAGTCACTCCCACCCAGGCCTCTTTTACTATTTAGCTTGTTGCTTTCAGGCCCATGTTTTTCCCCCCAGCTGCCCTACATAGTTACATCCTCTGTGCCCAGGCAGTGACCAACACACCTCTCCAGCTCACACATGTCAGGAACTCTCTGCTGCTCACTGTGCACAGGACACTACACAACATGACCCTGTTCCTGGTTGCAATGGCAGCAGCAAACACAATGAAGAGGATGACAGCATTTGCATCATCTGCTCTCACTGCCCAGAAATGTTTCTCTATAGTGTGGTAGGCAGACTCCATTACAGGATTGCTTGGGATTCTCATCTGCAGCAAACTCCCTCTGACAGGCTGCTGTGTGATGGCATTAACCATCTTCAGTACGAAGCCCTCCTCCCACCTCTCAGGGGTTTCTACCCTGCTCCTCTCAATCTTCCACAGAACCTGGATTTTTCCTGGCTGACCTGGGTCTCTGCCTTGTCTTTGTATCTGCTGAAGTTCCTAGGAAGATCTGATAACTGAAATCAGCACTCCTTTTCTTCCTCTCCAAAATACAAGTTTATTTCAGTGAAGAAACACCAGTTTACAGCTGAGGCTCAAACCCGCAAGGAGAACAGGTGTTTTTCTCCTGGTGCTTTGTCTGTCTCACAATTTGACAATTTTGGTTTCAACTGTACTGGAAAAGCTACCCTCAACTCTTGCCAGCATGGCATCAACAATCTTTGGAATGTAACATTGTATTTACTCAATTGATGCACCTTGGAAGTGCACAGGGCTCCACATTCCCCCTGCACTACAAGAATGTGTTCAGGCCTCTTCTTTCACCAGAAGGACATGAGTTCTTATGTCTGTATGAAGGCACATCAAGGAAATGTGTGACAAATCTTGTCTCTTCAGGCCTTCCTGGATATGACCTTCTGGTCACTACCAGTTTATAGAGCAGTAACAGGGCATATCCATGGGACCCCCGTGACTTCATCTCCAGTTTTGATTTTATCAAGAATTCTAGATTAATCTGCATCATGATGGGATTCAAAAAATAAAGAAGCTGGGTTTATTAATGAACGTTTTCACACAGGCCCCTTCCCCCAGTGCAGTTTCCTCACACAGCATCCTTTCTAGGAGGAAAGTAAGTGCACAGATGCTTCCCATGGCCCAAGCTGTGTGCGACTCGGTGAGTAGGGCTAAGGACATGTTCACATGTTCCCTAGCAGGGTGCACACTGCCAGGCAAAAGAACTGGCCAACCCAGTTGGACAGAGCAGCCTACACAGAAGAATCTCTAGATGAATGTGTTTACCTGATTACTGGAGGTTTCAAAACACAGGTTACCCAAACACCTGAAACTATGTGTTAATGCAGAGCACATGGATTCTTGGCACTAGGGGGAAGGAAAAACATCTTAAATACACCTAAAGTTCACTAGAACTGTGTGTCTGATGAAGAACTGCATCAACTGTTAATATGCACAAAGGCAATTTTCCACTCAGCAAGAAGAGTAGCAGATTATACTTAAAGATGGGAGAAAGCCCCCATGGTCCAATGCTTGACGTGCTCCCCTCTTCCCTCCTCATTAGCTTGCAAAAGCAAGCTAAAATCCTTTGCAGGCTGTTTGAAAAACACAAACACACTCTGGATCCAGAGAGGGTTTAAAGTGCACACTTTTATTTTCTATTACAAAGGCTAAAAGAAGCAAGTTTGGTTTTTCTTTCTTTATTTAAGAACAAAAACAAAAATGTTGTTAAAACATCTACATATTTATCCTGATACTAGACCTTATGAAAGATACTAAGTTCTTTTTAATAGTAAAGCGTGGTATTCTTAAATTATATTAATATGAAGACATATTAAAGGACTCAAAATCATTACTACCCAGCTCAGAACTGCAGCATCCCCTTGCTATCTTTTCCTTTCACTTGCTAAAACCCATCAATTTTTGACATACAGTTTCATACAAGCTAAGTAGGGTATTTTTTGTTGGTTGTTGTTTTGTTGGGTTTTTTTTTAACTTCTCCCTGTAAAGGCCTGGTTAACTCCAATGCCAGTGTCACCTAAATCCCTACCCCTACCAAAGAATTTGGGAAAAGATTTTCACTAAGTACTTCAGCATTTAGTAAGTTTCTGCTCTGTGTGAATGTCTGTGGTTATTTTACAGGATACGAGATTTTCTTCTAATGTTATAAAATTAAAACATCACTTTCTTTGTTAAAAACCCTCGAATTTGGTTCTGTGCTGCAGAATTTTCTTCTTCTTCTCTCACACAAATAAAGAAGAGAGAGTTATCACAGGGTCTTTTGAACACACCACTAAAGCAGCCTCTACAATTTGTGGTTTATCTGCTGTAGAGTTGTGAGCACTGAGCATTTCTGCTGAGAGCACATAATGTGCTGAAGAAAACCCTCTTGGCCTGATAAAGCAAGCCTGGGAAGTCAAGTGTGAAACTTCCTGCCTTTCACAATGTCCCTTTAAATAATATAAGCAAAGCCTTATATTAAAACTTTACTCACTAGTTAGCAGTATAATACTCTCTAACTGAGATGGGACTGCAAGGACATCCTAAAGGGTTTCAAAAATGTGAACAGGGAAACCTGTCCCATCTCAAAGTTTATACCTATCTATATAAAACCCTCCCCTCTTTTCTTATTTCCCTTTCCCTATCCCAAATACAAGGCTTCATAATTAAACTGGAGATGCTGCGTTTCCTGGCCTGAGTCCTTTTCCTTTACCCTCATTTAAAAGATTCCTTCGATACCACACACATATAATATTATATAGAGCGATATATTTAATACCTGTGTATATATGCTTCATGGGAAGGGTCACATATATACACACTAAAACAAGTCTGGTGACGAAGTACTGCAACACCACAGACCAGGTTATCATATCAGGGAAAACAAAGAGACACTTGATGCAACCCCCATGACTGTGGCCTCCCTCACCTCACATCACCCTCTCCCCATCTCGGCCCCAGCCCGAACCTCTGAAGCCCCACTGAGCAGCTCAGCTCTCATTGCAGAGACGGGGAGAAGGGACAGTGACCCACTCTGTAGCTTGTTTAGGTTACATGAGAAATCACGGCTCAGCGAACGCTAGAGTCACACTAGAGATGCAGGTTTGTTTTAAAAATAAAAAACACATTCCAGTGTCCCCCAATCCAGATTTCCTTCCTTGGCATCTCTGCCCAAGAAGAGCAGAAGAAGATAACCCAGGAGCTGATGCCTGTCTCCTCCCATCTCTAAAGCTGGACCACTTGAGCACAAGGATGACCAGGAGAAGGTACCATAGCTACCACAAAGAACAGAGGAGAAAATACAGCACCTGACCACTCAAAAACTGCCATGTCTGATATTGCTCATACCAAACCAGAGACTACCATCCATATTTTAAGGGAGAGGAAAAAAAGCTTAGCAGAAAAGTGGTTAAGTTGCCCAGGAAAGAGGCCGAGTCCCCATCCCCAGAGGTATTTAAAAATACATGTAGATGTGGCACTTTGGGACACAGTTTAGTCTGGGACTTGGCAGTGCCAGGTTAACAACTGGACTTGATGATATTTGAGGTCTTTTTCAACTTAATGATTCTAAGTGCAGAAGTGCATTCAGTTTACTTAGAGCACACTGCGTCTCTGGAAAGATTCCAGCACTCTGCTCCATAACTGGACCCTAACTGTCCCAGTGGAGCTGAAGCACCCTCCTGAAGGCTGGTTTAGAAAGGTGACAGCTGCCCCACACCATCTCCACATCTCCCGATTTCCACATCCCATCTCTTCTGAAGCTCTGAACCCCAAGGATATGGGAGCAGAGAGGATGGGAGGATGCAGCAATGCTAAGACACCAAGCAGTTCATGGCCAGATTGTATTTACCATGGATACAGCCCTACCAGCCCCAAGGGCTCCTAGACTGCTGTCCCAGGAGAACCTGTATGAAAAAGGCATCCCTGACAAAGGCTGGGAGGGAGATGTGTTTGTGTTTGATTGGATGGTGCCATCCATGCATGCAAAACTGCAGAGCACAGCTGGACTGCAGAAGAGAGAAGGAGAGGGAAGCTCAGAACAGGGAACATGTTTACTGCTTACAGGATGAGACTGACAGAAAGGACAAGGCTGGCATGCGGAGCAGCACCGCTTCTCACTGCTGCCCCTTCTAAAAGCAAAACTTCTGTCCCAGAGTTCAGCATTACTGGTTACTCATCAAAGCACACATCAGGCAGCACAAGAGCAGGCCGTTGCTGGGTCCTGCTGTGCCACTCCTTCTCCACCACTGCCCCTGCTCTGGGTTGCATCCTGGTTGCATTGTGCATCCGCAAGCTCCCTGCTCTGGCTCTGAGGAGGAGGGGGCTGGACCTCTGGTACTGGTAAGCGCTTCCAGCTGGATTCCCATTAGCTCAACGTTTCCTGTGCTGCGCAATGGTGTCCTTTTAAATGGGTCCCCACCCAGTTCTTCTGGCAGTGCAGGGAAAAATGCAGCTCTAAGTAACCAGAAACACATGCCATTTAAAGAGTAAGAAAGAACATTATTACCTCCCTCCCTCCCTCCCTCTCTTCAGGACACAAGGCAACACAGAAACACAGGCTCCTTTTGGTGACCACCTCCCTCCTGACTGATAATGCTGTGTGGACTCAGTGACACACGGTGCGTCACAGATTCCACTACACCTCCTAGATGGGTTCTGTTTTACTTGCACCAGTCACACCAGCCGAAAAAACAAACCCAAGCTATCTGCCCTGAACACCCGCCACACACTAAAAAAGACATCTAATGAGAAGTCACCAACTTGCTTTCTGATTACAGTCACCTACAACCTGGTTCCTGCTGCTGCAAGCAGTTTCATTACTTTGCTCCTTTTACCTTGTGCTCCTTATACCACACAGCTGTTATCCTCCTCAGCACCAGCTGATGCCTCAGGGCAATACAGACAGCTAGAGCATAAGCCTAGATCTCTTAAGCCAAATCTAGTGGTTTTCCTTCTTTGCACCACAACTCCTTCTGATACTAAACTCCCAGAAGAGCAAGAGGGCTGCAGCAGAGTAAGTGGCGCTTAGTCTGCAGCACTGAGAAAAGGAACATACGAAATTCATGGTCACCTTTTCACCAGATTTCATAAAATCATAGAACAGTCTGGGCTGGAAGGGACCATAAAATCATTCAGTTTCAATCCCCCTGTCATTTAGAAGGACACCTTCCACTAGACCACATTGCTAAGAGCTCTATCCAACCTGGTCTTGACCAGTACCAGGGATGGGGCATCCACAACTTTTCTGTCCCTCTCTCTCGGCTTTGTCCTCCAGACCTCTGCAGTCATACTCTGAATTGAAAGACAGAAGAATGACAGAAGGAGAAATTCTCTGATTTGCAGCCCAATACAGACTGAATTAATTCCTTTGAATGAAGGACAGTGAAAACAAAAAGATGAAGTGGAAGGAGAATTTGGGAGAAAGAAGAGAGAGAAGATGGATCACAAACTCAGTGAGCATGGCGTCGCTGGCCAACGAGAATCAAATTCACAAATTCATTCACTAATAAATCATTGTCTCATAATCTTAAAACAAAAGAAAAGAAAAAGTTCTCTGTGAGACAGAGATCTCGCTCTCCCTGCTACTGCCATTCAGAAAACCCACCCCGTGTTTCTGCAGCTCACAGACTCCCCCCAGCTCACACTATACGTCATCGCGCAATAGGAAGTTGTATTTCCCGAAGTCGTCATCCCTGGGGCAGAGCAGCATGTCCTTGCGAGCTTTGGCCAGTTTCTGTTTCAGCACTTCCCTCCGGTCTAGCCACTCCGTCAGCTCGTCCTGCCCATGGGCATAGCGACACTCCTCTCCCTCAGGACAGGTCTTGTTCTTCTGGAACCTGCCAGCACAAGGAGCGCAGTCAGGAGGGCACCCCCAGTACACGGCTTTGAGCTCTCTGTCTGGGATACTTGATCAGGACCCACTGAAACATGCTGTGAACTCTCCTTTTAAAGGGTGAGCTGATTGTCCTGCAAACCCATGTGCAGGTGGGAAAGAGATCAAGGCTGGGAAAAAAACAGAGCAGCAAAACCAGAAGTGGCTACAAGGGGATTTAGTCAAGAGCACAAAAAAATGTGAGCTGGAACTGGACCAGCAGGGATGAGGAAAAAATAATGCACAAGAGAGGAAATGCCAGGTAACCAGCATGAAAGACAAGAACCTTCTTGCTAACCAAAGTGGCATTTTTAACCCTCACAAGCTTTCTGAAGGCACCTTAAGGTGCTGATTCAGAGGGCGTGAGACATTGAAACCATTTAATAAGGCACTGGGGATTCTCCCAAGCAGTGGGCCAAGGAGGCTGCTCAGCAGCCTGAGAGCTGAGAGCATCCTGGCTATGAAGAGCGCAGGTGCAGACAGAAAGCTCTCCTTTTCTAAAGACACATGCTCAGGAATGTGTTTTTATCCCTCAGTATTGTGGCTGAGCACCTCTGTGATCCAACAGCAGCCTCACTGTCACCCAAACCTGTCATCTCATCCCACTCCTCCATGCAGAAGTCTCCAAGAACTCTGTGAGAGGATGAGGAGGGATGACAGAGGCCCTGGGCCTGTTCCCCTGTCCCTGCAGCAGTGGCACAGGAGGGAGGTGAGACAATGGTACCTCTCGCAGAGCCGGAATTCGCCCATGGGGAAGCGGTAGCTCCAGCAGCTGGAGTCACTGTCTGAGGTGAAGACCTTCTCCTTGTGCTTCTCCGACTGGATGTGCTGCTGCCATTGCTTCTTGCTGTTGCTGTTTTTCCCACAGAGCCAACAGTGGTAGCCCATCTAAGTGGTGCAGACAGGGAAAAGGATCAGTCAGTGCAATAACATTCACATCCACTGGCCTACCCTATGCTGGCACTGCCTCTCCCCCTCTCCTTCCAGAGCATCCTGGAAGGTCCACTCAGTCTACGACTACCCACACTTTTCTGCCATATAATCTTTAGGGAGCTGTGCTGACACTAAAGGGGAACAGAGGAGATGCTCTGTCAGAGTTTATCTATGGCTCAAACAGGCTCAGGGGACAGGGCAGCTCAGTTCATTGACATGGTGCCCCTGTCCCTGCTGATGGCCCCAGTGGGGTCTCACTGCAAGGCCCCAGGTTCACAGGCAATGCAGGACTCTTCAGCAGCACAGACCCTTACATCAGTATCACCCATGGCATAAGGAAACATCTGCATCTAGTTTTCCAAGGCTTCTGTGCCAGCTCTTCTCCAAGCTTCTCCCTCTTCTGACCTGCAATGGTTTTGCCAGCTTGCCCAGGAGCAGGCAGGAACCCTGGAGAGAGGCTGAGCCCATGCAAAAGGGAACCTAAGGCAGACTCCTAATGACTTGGGGATTAACAGAAAAGCCATTGTAGAGCCTTGCTGACCCCAGGTCGATCTCTTCCCACTTTAGCTCTGCTGCCCCTCCTGTGCTGCTCCAAGCTGTCCCTTAAATCTACGTTAATACAGGCTCTGTTCTACTAGAGCAATGAAGTCCCTGCTAGCACACCTGGAGCACAGGAGAGAGGCAAGCTGGCAGCACTGGGGAGGAGGAGGAGGAGCAATGAAGGACAAGAGATCAGCTTATTACCATGATGTCTGCATAGTCAGTGGGCATCTGGATCTGTTTCTCCCCTTCTCGCGAGGTGAGTGGTGTTCCCTCTCCAGGCTTCCCAGGATTGTGTTTCTTTAGCCACATGTCATAGGTCTGCTGCATATCTAGTACTGTACAAAGATGACACATGAAGCCACTCCAAAAACCTCCCACCCTGTCCACAAACTATGAGAAAAGGACAAATGCTGGGGCAGCCCTTCCCTCCCCTCGACTGTGCAGCAGCACCAGACTGAGGGCCTGTGCCCCATGTCACCTCCTCAGATAAGACCCCAGCGGAGAGGAGCCAAATTCACAGCACACCACCTGGCACAGGGGGTATCTTCTATCAGTCCAGGGCCAACTGTGACAACAGCCACACAAACTTTTCAGAAAGGTGGCAAAGTGCTGCAAGATCTCATTGGAATTCACCCCACAAGATGATTCTGCAAGAAGCCTGATTCTACTTGACCTCAGGAGACATCTTATCCAGGAAGCTAAGGCAGGGCTGGTTTCAGATCCTTCTCTTCCCTCTAAGCTCAAGCTTAGAGGCAAGCTGGCCACAGGAAGCACTGCAGAGTGGAGGAAGACCTAATGATAGCTTGCTCTGAGTTCAAAACCTGCCCAGAGAACTGCAGTCAATATATTTCATGGCTTTTGATTTAAAAGCCACTCAACATACTTGTGGGAAAGGGAAATTTGAGGTGAAAGCTTTAACTAGACATCTGCCTTTGCAAGATCAGCTCCTGAGAGAGGCTATGGAAACATAAATGTTTGCAGATATCGATATGATGCTCTAAGTGTGATGCATTAGTGATTTACTCCTTTCTAAATGAGTAATTGAGGAACTTGAGGTAACTGGGGATAATGAATGCAAACTCCCCCAAACTGAGACAACGCCGTTGTTTGAAGATTCACCTTTGTGCTTGAGTAAACACATCCAGACTGGTCTGATGTGCTTTAAAGGCCCAGCAATGACATGCTTTGAACTGCAACAAGCAACAGTTTGGCACAGCAGAGAGAAGGACCCTCCACAGAACCAAAAAAACTCAGGGCAGGCCTGAAATCCTTCAGGCTTTCCAGCAGCTCCAACAGAGGCAGGTGAGCACCTGGACAGCAGCCCCTTTCCCCCAGCCTCGTGTTGATCTGAATAAACAAGGATTTCTGCCACAGAGCAGGCTGTCCAGGATATGGGCAATCCCCAACTATCACCCAAAAGGTAAGCCTGCAGAATTAAATACAGACAAGTTCCTCCACAAAGGCACCACCCTGCAATGTCCTCATTCAGGATCTCAACTCCACCCCTTGGAACACAACGCCATGAGCAGGGAGTGCCACAGCCCAAGATCAAGGAATATGAGCAGAAATAGGTAAGACAGCCAAGGCAGATAGAAGACAGACAAGAAAGATAGAGGAGCAGCTACAGGCCAGGACTGGTGCTTTGGCAGAGCTCCATATAAGGCCAGGCCTGGGACGTTACAGGCAACTGGAGGGACAGTACAGGGTGGATTCTAAAGTGACGCAGAAAGAGAGGGCAGCAGTGAAGCAAAGTAAGACATAAAACTATTGTGGACTAGTCCCACAGCAAGGGACTCAAGAGATACATGCCCATTTGTGAAAAGAGCAGCTGTAGACAGACCTGACCCATAATCCCACATAAACTCATGGCAGCATCCTTGTCCAGCTCCATCTCTGTTGTCAAGAATATGTCTTAACAGACCCTCCAGATGTCCAAATGTCCTCTTCCCTCTCCCCAAACTCTCTGGCCCACATTTCCCCCACTCACTTTTATTTTCCTTCATGAAGGTCCACATGTCCCTCTCCTCAGGGCTGTGGGCAAAGGAGCAGTTGCCCACATACTGGCATTTCCTGCCATTCTGTGCATGGATACACAACTGTTAAAAGACAGAGAGAAAAATTTAGCATCTGCACAATCAGTCCTTGCTAGAGGGGAAAGTGGGTTTGATAACCAGCTGGGGCATTAAATTGCACAGGAGAGGTTGCAAACAGGACACTTTATATATCATTAACTCATGATTCTTTTCCTCAGTCTCTTGATGACACAAACACACAGGCAGTTCAGCACCTGCTGCCATTTCCATAGGTGACCAGGTGCAGATACAGGGCAACAGCAGGGAGCATCCTGGATTGACCCAATAGTGTTTCCTGCTGATGAAGCTGCTGGTCCCCAAAGGTGACTCATTCTCCAGCCATCTCTGAGTGGGTGAAGAGTGGCCTTACAGATTGCTTAGACCACACTGGTGCACACACAGCTACTACCAACAGCATCATTGCCAGAGAAAATGTGAAACTTTCTAAACATCATATTTACTGATCATCTCTTCTCCCCCTGTCCTGGCACAAAAGGAGGACCTACCATAGGGTAGGGGGAAGCAGTTCTCTCCTTTCAGGGAAAAAAGAGAGGAGAGGGAGAAAGAAACTCTCTATAACGACATTTGGGGCTGGGGTTGGAGGCTGGATATCTGTAATTTTCCTCACAGCACATGGCTTTTTAGCTGAGTTCTTAGTTTTGCTTTCAAAACCCATTGTGAGCAAGTTTCACAATCTATAGTGCACAGTCACAGCAAAGGCAGGGATAGGCTTCTCCCAAGCGTCTTGCCTCTCACCCACATTGAGAAACCCTGACCTAAGGGGAGTCTTAAATTTCATTCCCAAACCCTGTGCCAGCCAGAGATGCATTAACAGCTCTTGTTATGCATTAGCAACAACACTGGAAACTCTCATTTGTGCACAGAGTGGTTTAAATGGGCGCTGGTCCTTCTTCTGCTCCATCCTTTTGCTGGATGTATTTTGCTGCCATTAGTCTGTTCTTACCTCCCATCTCAACCATCATATGCTTGCCTCCCTGACAAGTCTTCAAGGGAGCAGCCCTTAAAACACTGCACCGTGGTGGAAGGGAAAGGGAAAGGGATGGGGCAGCTGGCCATGCTGGGCGTGGGGCTTACATCATATTGCTGTGGGAAGTTACGGATGGAAGGCAGCGGTCGGACTGACACCCACTTCTTCTTAGCTTTGGACATCACCAGCAGGACACGGCGTTCCTTCGTCCAGCTGAAGAAGAGAGAATAAATCAAGAGAGACATAAGAAAGAGCAGAACAAGGGTTCTTTACCTCAGAGACCCTTAAACACTGAGAGATGAGCAGATCCTCCTGTCCAGCTTGTCCCTGCCCTATCTGGTGGTTCCTAGACATGCACATCTGTGATGGAGAAGCCACAAGAAGGCTATTTTAGGAGGACTTCTCCCTGTAATATTTATTTCCTGGGGTACCTCTTCTCATAAAGCCACAAAAATCTTCCCCAAATCTCACATGGCATCACCACAGATTATTAAACAGCTGCATTCCATCCTTTGACACAGCCAATTCTTGTGCAATCAGATCCATGAAGAACACTTGGGAATATTTTCAGCTTGAAAGGTGCAATAGAAATGCAAGTCATTACAAGCACTACTTTATGAACAGTGCCAGGAAGTATTTATTCTCCTGTAGCTCCAGCAAGGGATCACCAGGAGATACCCTGAGCAAAAACCCCAGCTCTATTCAGCAGCTGCATAAAGAGGTGCTATTTTTCCTATCCCAGGAAGCAATCCTCACCTGCTTACTTTCTCCAGAAACTGCTGCTTCTGTCTCTTCTTCAACAAAAGTCTTACATTTACAATATTAAGCTGGACTGTGCCTTTGTGGCTTGTGTTATGGGAAGACAAGTTCTATAAACTCTTCCATCCTATCCCTGCAGGCTGCCTGGGTGAGACAGGCCAGAGTTTCCATGACCAAACAGTGACTTCCCAGCCAATATTTCTCTCCTAGGGGGATTACAAGACAGATGGCGACAAATTTTTTTAGTGGGGCCTATAGTGTTTTGATAAGGGGTACTGTCTTGAAACTAAAAAAGGGTAGATTCAGACAAGATATAAGGAAGGAATTTTTTATGATGAGGGTGTTGAAACACTGGCACAACCCAGAGAGGTGGTGGATGCCTCATCCCTGGAAACATTCAAGGTCGGGCTGAGAAACCTGATCTAGTTGAAGATGTGCCTGCTCATTGCAGGATGGCTGCATTAGAAGACCTTTAAAGGTCTCTCCCAATCCAAACTGTTCTAGGATTCAATGCTTCTATAACACCAAACATTCTCATGGGCCCCAAGGAGTCAAGAGGTACAAACAGACATGGCATGCATCACAGAGGAGCAACCAAAGCAATGAAAGAGCCATGGGAAACTAATTTAAAAGGAAGCAGAGTATCTTGAATAATTTCTAATTGTGACCTGACAGACATCTGCAAACAGGTAAGTGTATAAACACGTGCAGAGGAGAACTCTGTTAGTGGCCTTTGTAAGAAGAAATTATAGGAAGTGGGAGAAAAGGGAATTGTGGGAGCTGGACTGCCTGTGCCAGGATTAACAGTCTGCACGATGCTGGCAGCAAATACCCACAGTAAAGAGAGAAGGAAGCTGGAAAACAGCTATCTGCACTGCCTGCTACAGTGACAAACACCCCGAGCAGTGAGAGACTTCTAGGAAACCTTACAGACTCTTCCAAAGATGCCAAATGAAGCCCTGGAGAAGATAGGATGAAAAATTCCTGCCCTTGAAGAGGGGTAGAGGAAAGAGAAGGTTGAATTGCTCACCAGTGGGGGGCTTTGGCACTACAGTACTTGAGGTCTTTATCTGGCTCCACCAGCTGCCCGTTCCTCCAGCACTGGCCACACACAAATTTCATCTGGAGGTCAAAGGTGCTTGACGTGGGATTCCGGGGAGAAGCCTGGGGAAAAGAACCACAGCCTCAGGCGAACAGAGGCAAAATGCACCCCCCAAAACCTGCCCCAAAGATTCTGGCAGCTCCCTGCACGCCTGTGTGCCAGCGACAAGCCAGATTCAATCAGCTCTCCTTCGCCAGTGTTAGCCGGTGGCCCACTGAGATACCAGACAGGAGCAAAACCACTGCTTGCTTCAGCATGATTTCCTGGGCTTTGACATCTGGCCAAAAGCACAGACAGCCTGGCAGCTTCCAGCACTGACCAGGCCTGGCTGTGAAACCCCTGCAGTGTACCTTCGTGCACAGACAAGCTCTGTGAGACTTACCCCAGAGCTTAATCCCCACTTCCCTGCAGAGAGGGCAATCCATGTCCCACTCTGCCTGTGGAGAGTGCTTGGTCACAAAGCCGAGAGAGGCCCCTTGGGAGGAAGCTGGACCATATCACAATGCAGGACACAAAACTCCTGCTTTTGGACCAAGAACCTTGTGTCACACCCAACATTTGACAATAAAGTCAGAGCTGGATTCTCTTGTTGATATCCTTCCAAGCCTTTTCTGGACAGGTTTCTATCTCTCACAGTTCCTCTGCACAGAGTTTCACAAGCAGTGAAATCACAGTCTCTGGACAGAGGTACAATGCACATATTTCATATCTTCTCAGCCATTGCATTTGTTGCCCCCACCCCACCTGAAAAGGCTAGTTTGGGATTATGACTAACAGACTGTGGAGAAGGAAAAGAAAAGGAGGCAATCTCATATCACTGGTGCCTCATGTTTTCTGAGCAAATCTCTGGAAAACTGTTTGCATTCTGTATCACCACTGGAAGAACACGAGGCTGGTGTCTCCAGTTCATTTCCAAACCAAAAAACAAACCCGACTGGATGCCAGTGGCCCTTGGCACAGGAGTATGTGAGAGTACAAGAGAACACCCTGGTCATCGAGCTGGCCATGAAGCACAAAGGTCATGCACCAGCAAAACAATTCTCTGACTGTCAGCCACATCAGCAGCCCATCCCACCTGCCATGCCTTGACTTTAACCCTGAGCATCTAACAATAACCAGACATGCAAGCTGAGTCCCTGAAGAGCAGGTTTCTGCCAGCAATTGATTAGCAGCAGAATGGAGCCTGGCTGCATCCCTAGGTTAAGGGGAAACAGCAAGCACAGGCAGCACGGAATCAAAGCATTTCCCAGGAGACGCCACATCAGCTATCAACTACCACTGCATCCTCCAGACATAGTCTTCTGGAGAACCAGAGCTGACATGTAAAGGGTCCTCTGTCACTGTGAAAGCTGACTGGGGAGCTGACCTCACCTGTGCTGCATACGTGAGGCCATCAGCTCTCTGATGTCCCAGCAAAAGGACCCTCCCAGAGAACCAGCATCTCTTTTGAAAGAGATAATCTCTTTTGAAAGAGGGTAGTCTCTCGTCTGGGAGAATGACCTTTCTGGTGGCTCTCAGCACATGACTTGTTCATCACTTGCTGTCAGCTGTCACCTGTGCTGGTGACCACCAAGAACACATAAAGCAGCTGGCTGTGAGATGAGCAGAGTTGGGATTTGGGCTACCATGAAAGGCAATAAGGTGCCTCCCTCTCAGATATGTGGCCTTTGAACAGTAGCTTTAATCTCCACTTGGTCTTCAAAGGAATTCCACTACCACTCACTACTGACCCATCAAACCTATAGGCCTATGGTAACAAAATGGCACTGCTAGCATATTCCCTTTTATCAATCCCATGCTATCCTCCTGGTGACATACCTCTCAGCACAGCCAGGAAGCTTTGCTCAAACCTACTGACCCAGCAAAACTAAACACTGAGTGTCTGCAGAAGAGACAAGAGATCAGAGAGAAAGAAAATATCTCTCAGGTAGTTCTGGTAATCTGGGCTGCTTTTTCCACAAATTCTTAACCAAAAGAAGTCCTGTGCATTTCTTCATCTGAGTCATGCAAACTGCTGGTCAATCCAGTGGGCATGTGTGCTTCCAGGGGATTAGGAGCCAAGCAAAAATTCAAAGCGGCTCCTGTTAATGCTACATGACTGTATTTGTAAAGGCAAGACACATACCTGGCAGGCTGCTGATAACCAACAGTGTGGAAATTATATCACATGAGGCTCTAGCAGACTAAGCCAGGCAAAAGTGCCTTGAGCTATGGCACCACCCCTTGCTATGAAGCCAGAGAATATAGTGTTAGCTAAGCACCATGGCAACCAAATAAATACAAGTCTCTGGCACAATTGCTCTCCACTTCAGGCTCTGCAGAAAGCAACAGACCCTGCACAGCCATTCATGTCTCCCAGCTTCAGGAACTCCTCTCAGCAATACTGAAATGTTCTCTGGCAGAGCTACATACCTCAGGGGACTATATGAGGAGCCCAGGTTACTCAGCCACCTAACTGAGTGAGCAGTACTTAGGTGCAAGGACTCCTTAATGGAGACTTTTTTTCCCTCTCCATGCTTAAATTGGTAATTCTGGGGTGAGCTTTCATGGGGGTTCTGGTGCTGGCTAGGGTAATAAAAATAAAACAGCTCTTGAAAACCAGAAAAAAATGAGCGATACAACCCCTCAATTTGCTGGGATGTGATGAGAGGACACCCAGCTCCCTACAACAGCCCCTCCTGCTGACTGGCTCTTCAATCTGTGGCCACTGGGTTTACTCCTACAGCAGCTGCTGTGAGGCCAAATTTGTGGGGCCAAGTGCAAGATTCCGGGCAGGTGCTTGGCAAACAGTGTATCTTCATTTTTTATTTTTTGCTAAGCCTCCTGACCTTCACTGTCACAGCTACTGGGCCCCTGCATGCTGCCTGCCTCTTTTCTCCACAACTGGACAACCCTGGGTGCTGAGTCCAGCTGGCAGCTGTGACAAAACTGCAGCAAAATCTCCCACAGCGACTTTGCTTCCACTGACCAGAGGGAACTGGAGTGAGAGTGGATCACACGGGATGGTGGGAAGGAGGGGTCTGTTTTTACAGCACTCCTGGGAAGTTGTCTTTGCCAGGCAGCCAACTTTGAAAGCTGGAAGGACGATGAGAAAACTCTGAGTCACGTTAGCCTGCTTGGACAGGAGAAAACAATGGCAAAAGTAAACATCTCTCAACAGATAGCTAGTCCCGCCCGCAGGGCCTTCGGCAGCAAGCCCGAGTCTCATCCCAAAGCACAGCCCTCTGGCTGAGGACGTGCTGTTGCCAAAGCCATGGTGTGCTACTGCAAACACACACATCTGACTGACTTGACTGCCTCCCTGCACAGTGCCAGTGCCAGGCTGCCAATCCTAAGAGACGGCTGGTGGTGCTGCTGGTAGGCACTTTCTCACTGCACCAACACGGCTGCTGCTTTGCCTCTGCACCCTGCAAGGGTTGTGGGTGCAGTCCAACTCTGTCACAGGCATTTATGGGCCACAGTCAGACTTTGCCACTGGTCATTAGCCCTAGCACTGCCCACAGGGCCCAGAAACTGTAGCTTTCTACCTATCTCTTGATCTAGCAGGCTCTGGCATTTCCTTTCCTGATCCTCTGCCCCTTGCAAGCCCCAGCATCCAGAAATGGAACCCTCACTTAGCATCCAGATCCCATGTGCTTCAGAGGACATGCTCTGACCATACCTGCTGTAAGCTTATTCTTCTAGCAGCAGCACCTCCAGACAAAGGTGAATTTGAAGCTGCAAGGCTTACAGGAAAACAGCTGTCCATTTATCTTTTTTTTAATCCCCTCATTATGCACAGAGAATGGCAAGACAGAGCTTTCAGGAAAATGCAGATAAATTCACAGCAGGCAGGACAGAACCAATCTCTGGACTGTGCTCTCATGGCAAGGCACATATGGAGCAGGGATTGCTGATATAAATCCAACTGCTGTCACAAACTGCTGCAAATTCACTTTTAGTTTCCTTCCATGTGGAGATGCAGGCCACTGCCTCTGTCCCCGCACCACGCAGAAAGAGATCACAGCCAGCTCTGGTTGCAGGGACAATTCAGATCATCCACTTCTCATATAATACAGGATGTAGATAGAAACTTGTCCTGCTCAGCTTCCTGAGAGTTTAGAAAATATTCCTTAAGCAAGTCAGACAGTTCTGGGAACTACAGACCTTGGTTTTTCTTGGTTATTCTGGACTGCTGCTTCCCATTCCTCTCCTCCAACCATTTCAGACCATAACAGCTGCACAGGTTTATTGCTGAGCATCCCCTTGAAGATGAATCCAACTCATGCAGCATAACCAGTGCACAGGGGCACACAGAGCCCACTGCAAGTGTCAGTGCAATGACCTGCATCTTTTCTGTTAGGCTAAGCTATGCCCACCAGACCTTCCCACAAATGCTTCCCCAGCATCAGTGCCCTACAGCCTTCAGAACACTTCTGATGGCACACAACCAAGACAAAAAACAGCAGCTAAACATCACATGAGTGACTCAGATTCCTCTCCTGTAAAAGACCTACTCCACAGGGTGCTCACAGACTGCACTTGGCACTGGTCTCTGCAGAGGAACTCCTGGGTGACAGATCCCACACAAAGGTGAAACACTCTTGCTCAGACAGTAAGGCACAGGCCAAGGGATGGCAAGCTCAGGTTTGCCAAGGTTAAAGAAAGCTGTCAAATGGGAACAAAAAGGATTTACACACTTTCCCCACCATTGTCCTGTTCTAATGGCAAAAACTGCTTTAGTTCAACTTCAAGACTGGGCTGTGAATTGTCCTCACTGGGTGGGCTCTGCTCCTACAGTACAGAAATTCCCTCTGGGATAAAAAAAATGATAAGACAGCACTGCCCACAGCCAACAAGAAAGAAGAAAGTAAACAAAGAAAAGCCCTTTGCTTCTAACGCCTCTCACACTACCCTGGTACACTCTTGGCAGTGCTGGAGGGTTCAGCCCTCCACACTGAGAGACTGGTGGCAAAAATAAGTCAAAGCTCCCAGCCGCCTCCTGGTGAAGCACCACTAAGATCTCTGTCAGCACCTGGGCTGCCAGTTCCACCCACTCCTGCATTTAGATCAGTCCTATACATCATGAGTCATTCCTTAGAAGTCCTTCAAATGCTCTACTGCCCTTTGGCCACTAAAGGGCAGCAGGACACATTTGGTCCCCAGTGTGTGACCACTGCCCCAAAATCTCCCAGTTTCACCAGGAAGGGTGTCACAGGAAACAACATTCTCATGTGTGCTGCCCTCAGTGACCTGGAGGCTTCACCCTAGCAGGGAGCAGATAATAACACTGTAAAGCAAGGCACAAAGCTCAACACTAGCACTGCAACCAGGAAAGCTCTCAGCTCTCCTCCACCTCAATGGCCAGCCTGGTCTGCCTGGGACCTGTCAGGCACAACAGTGGGAGGAAAAGAGAGAAAGGGCTGGAACCGTTGGGAGCAAAATCTGTCTCCAAGCCCTCGGTGGACCTTACTTACCACGCTGTTGGCTGGTTTGCTGGCATGTGCCTCCATCTGCTGCCAGTACTTCTTGGACTCCTGCACGATATCTTCATGGGTCATTCCTGGGAACAAAAAGGAGACAGAGCTGAGCTACACTCCTTTGGCTAAGAGAAGAAAAGGAGGTGTTGCAGGACTTTTTATTTTGGGCTTAGTAATCCCTGAGTAGCTGTCAGCTCCCAACAATATCCCTGGTAATGTCAGGACTGAGTTGTGGCAGAATCCACCACAGAATATGTCTAATCTCTTACAGAGGAAGCTCCTCTCTACACAAGCCAAACAAAAGAAGAGTTCGGTCTCCTGGACTTGTTCAGACTTGGCTTTCTACTCAGGCAGTCTGCAAAGGACCCAGGTGCTGCTTCTAAAGCAAATAATTCTTCACAAGGTTCAAGAGGTTGACCAAGGCTGTCCCTGACCCCCATATCAGCAGATTCTACCAAGGTCCTAAAGGCAATGCTTTGTTACTATTGATCTACTGTACATGGAGTTTTTGCTTCTAGCTTGGAAGAGACCCACTGAGACATCTAGCATTTCCAAGACCCCAGAAGTCTCACCTATTACCTGCTGGGATTAATTAGCCTGTTACACCTTCAAGTTGAGAGGGCTCCCCATAGGCAAAGAGGAAAATTGAAATTCAACACAAATAGACACCAAGCACAACCAAGGCAGCAAGGAAAGACCAGCAGTGCAAAACTAACCAAGGAACAGCTGCTAGTAAATAACCAGCAAGGAAAGATCTGCAAGGTCTCAGATATCAGAAATGCAACATCAGACAACAAGAAAAAGGATTGGTCAGACCTTATCTAAGGAATTAGCTCCTGACCAGCTCAAGTGGTGAGGGAACAGCCTCTGTTAGCAACAGCCAGCTAGATGGGCATTCAAGTTATTAAGTGCTCTAAAGACCCAAGACAGCTGCCAAAAGAAACTGAAGCAAATATCTTGCACAGGCAGCTGATTGCAAGGGGGGTGCTGAGGATGGCCTTGATGCTGCATCCCCAGGACACAGACATTGCAAATTTGATTGCTTTGCTGATGCCTATAGCTTTTATTACTGAAGTGAGCTGTTCCCCAGGAGTATTACATAAACACAATCATTGATCTGGGAGACAGCACATTCCAGAACTTAAGGGCCACCAAACAAAGTTTTCATCTCAGCTTAGGCTGTGTGTAGCTTGGGTAAGTCACAGCATTCCTGACCTCAGCTTTTCTGTCTGTGATTTTGGCTGTTCATGTCCCCATCAGGCACCACTACTACCATTTGCACAGGGCTTGAACAGGATGAAAAGCACTCAGAAGACTCATTTTTCAAGAACATTTGCTCAGGTCTTTAAAATGGCAGCTACTGCATAACTGGTATTGCTCACAGATCAGAGCTGTTGGTGAATATTCTACCTCTTAACCATTAATCCCAGAAGAAATGGCGTAGAGTTAGAAAAATTGCAACTCTCTCTTCCATGCCTAAGTATTCCAGGCTAAGACACAATGATGATTTGTATTTTGGAGACAAAAACTCTAAAGCTGGGGAAAGTTAACACGCTGCACCGGACCTGGCAGGAACAGGGCTGAAGCAGCTCCTACCTTCTCCTTTCTGCACACCTGTGATCCTTGGGGTGCAGAACCAAAGGGAGAAGCATATACAGGTCTTGTCAGAAGACTGAATTTCAAATGTAGTTCTTGTGACTGCCTTTTTCCAGTTCTAGAATTCTCAACTCTTTCAACAGTCTAGAAATGTGGTGGTTGGGAAAGAAAAACCCTCACAAATGTGAAAGGATGGTTTCCAATCTACCAGCTTTTCAAAGCATGAACCATCCCAAAGAAAAAGGCCCATGTGTTGATTACTTATAATATTTCTGCATCTTTTGCAATATCATTAGTGAAGACAAAGAGTCTGTTATTACCACTGGTGGAAGAAGATAGCAAGAGATGCCTGTGAAAAGCCACAGTGAACAAGAAAACAGTCCTGCCTGTCCAGTTTTCAGATCTTGGGAACCTTTACTCCACTAATACAATCCTTTATCCCCATGAACAAAGCCAAAAGCTCTGTAAATGCTCAAGTGGCTGTAAAGTGTTTCAAATGTAAGCTGCCCTCTTCCTATTCTTGCCAAGTAAATAGTGCCCAAATGAAACTTCCTGTTCCAAAGCTAAATCATTCCCAGAGAATGGCAACAACTACCTTTAATCTCGGTTTCCATAATGAAGGCTACATTTGAGAGAGGCAAACTAACAAGGAAAGCAGGCTCATATATACAGCCCTGCAGAAAAAAAGCCCACAAGATAATGTCTCCCCTATCGTTGGAAAAGGTGGATCATTAAGCACAAGGCTTAATGATCAACTCTGCAGCTTAACTCATGGCTTGTTTCATCTCCTCAACTTTCTCTTTGAAATAATTTCTTCAAATAAAGAAGGAAAGAAGAAAAAAAAAAAATCAGTTTATTTCTTCTGCAGGATGAAGAGGAAGGAACACAGAAGGAAGGAAGAAAGGTTTTCAAGTAACAAAACCTGACCAAAACAACTAAAATAAACCAACCTTGGGATGGGGATAAAAGCAAGGTACTTGAGTATTAGAGTGCCCAGAGTACAATGAGCAGTATCACAAGCATGTAGGGCAGCAATGGTGGCCCATGACTCACAGGCAATGTGCTATCTTAGAAAGTCCAGAGCTGTAATTTTTTAATCTCCTGAGGCCACAAGAAAATGAGGGCAAACAGAAAGATTAAAGATGGCATTTGCCACAGTGTGCTATTTGTTCATCACTGTCCCTCATGAGCTGAAGCCATGGTCAAGGACTGCACTGAACATCAATTATGACATCAAAGAATGGTGAGAAACATCCATAATGTGTTTCAGCTCTGAAGTACCCCCATTACCAGGCTGGGTGTTGCACTAAATGAGACCCTGTGGTGAAAAAACATGTAGGTAGCACTGTGTGTGGACTAATACCTACACAGCCAACAGGACAGCAGCCAGAGAAAACCTCCAATGTATCAGACAGAGAAAAAAAGACAGGACTCAAAGTGCCATATGTGGCAGTGTCACTATGTGATTTCCCTGAGTATAATCTCTGTAAAACCTTCTCCTGAGGCATGTCATCAAAAGCTTTTTAGGAAACACCAAGTATCTTGCAATTTCCTGCTGTTGGTGAATTTGTTTTGAGAAACTGGAGATTCACAGCCTTCTGTATATAACCAACCGCTTTGTCACTTGTGCTGCCATTCTCACTGCAAGACATGTTCACTCAGGGGTCCAGCTGCTATTTGCACAAGATCTAAGCACCAAACAGCTCTTGGGATTCAGCTCTATCTACCTAATTATAATTTTAATTTATTCAGCTGGTCCCAAGGGAAAGGCTTTCTGGTCTGCAAATCATATTAGCCCTGTTCCTGTAAATGGACAAGGGCCAAATCACCTCACAGTCATCTCTTTTGTGTCCCTGAGGAGGCAGAGTAAGCAATATGCAGGAGCGAGTGACACGTTCTCAGCAGTCCCAAATCACCTTCTTTCCCTCTCAACTCGCCCTGGGTACACACTGGAAGAAACTCAGGTGAACACAACACCAGCCAAGTCACACTCACCTGAATATTGCTGCAGCAGCCAGACCTTGAGCTCAATGAAACTGTGAGCAAAGTGGCAGCTGTCCTCACGCAGGCAGCCGTAACGCACCTCATGTCGGCACACGTCGAACTGGAAGTGCTCCTGGAACTGACGGATCTTGGAATATTTCAGGGAGGTGGAACGCACAATGTGGACCAGACACCTGCAGAAAAATACAAAGGACCAGGGGATCAAACCCTCGCCACCTCCTACTTACATATGGCATCCAGACATTTGACTGGGCAGGCAAAGGACACAAGAAAATTGACACCGGGAGAGACAGATTCCCTCTGGGAAAAGCAAACCCCTGCCCTCCCACCTGATCAAGCCTGGGTAGTTATTTTCACCCTGAGCACATGGGTGATGCTCTGCCTAAGTTCAGAGATCAGACAAGTTTCAAAATACACAGCAAAGATACCAACTCCTCTGGTTCAGCATCTTCCCATGTCTCAGGTTGCCAAGAATCTGAAGGAATTGTATGACTGTGTACTTGACATGTTTGTTATACTTGTTTTCCTAAACATTCATTACCAGACAGAGGCAGGATCCTGAGCTAGAGGATCTTTGTTTTGACTTTTTCATAAAGGCCAAACTGAAAGGCAAATTAAGTCAATGGAAAACTTAACAGAGTGATGCCAAAGGGCTTTGCTGATGCCTGAAATCCCTCAGCACCAGAAGCAAACATGCAGGGTGAAATGCTATTTATCATCATTTGAGCTGTCCTATGATTGGAACCCATAGGGAGGAAAGAAAGAAAGAGACCAGAGCCCTGGAGTTAAACTGGCTGGACTTGTGAGAGAGACATGGTTCCCATCAGTAGAAGGTATTGTTCACTCACTTGTTGTCATGGAAAATGTGTTTTGCAGAAAGGTTGGAGCAGACAGATGGTGTGTCCTTGGTCCCTTTGCTGATAATCCGGGGTTTGCTGTCAAAGCAAATCTGAGAAGAGAAGAATTAGCATACTGGGAAAATCTTAGAGAGCAATGAACCAGAGCAACTTCACTTAGAGGAGAAAGAAGAACCAGAGCCAGCCTATTCTAATGTTCAAAGTAGTTCAAAGAAGTGTGGTGAAAACTTTGTGGTAGGGCTTTAAAATAAAGCAAGTCAGTCTCTGGAAAAGCTTCCGGACAACATTTTTTGGCTTATTCTCCACAGTATTTTCCATTGTGGTTGGAAAAATTTTGGTCAGAGCCGCATATTCTTCTTTCCCTGTTAGCCAACAGAACAAGAACAAGGGAGAAAAAAGAACAGCCACTTCACAGCAAAGAACATGTCCCTTTACATGCACTGCCAACATGGGAAACTCTGTGCTGCAGAGCATTAAAATGGTATGAGGCAATTCTCAACTGACCAATCAGTAGCTCTGCACAGACACCAAGTGGAAATTTGTTGCATTATGGAATTCCAATTTCTGAAGTAACTGGGGCTAAATTACAACTCAAAGCAATATGTCAAGATTGGGGAAGAGACAGGTGATCCCATGAGGCTGTGAGCACCTGGTTCAGCTGCAGGGCTAAGGAAAGAAACTACTCCTTTCTCCTGCACTCCTCTGTACAATGCTCACTGTCCTTCTGGGAGCACGGCACTGGCTGGGACACACAGAGTTACAGGTGGCTTGCTCCAGCACCTTTAAGATTTCCTTCTTGAAACATGTCCAACTTTCCTGGACTCTTTTTCCCTTCAGGACTGCCTCCCAAGGTACTCTGCCAACCAGGCTCCTAAAGAGGCTAAAGTCTGCCCTTCAGAAGGTGAAGTGGCAAGGCGCCAGTCTGCTGACCCCTCTCCTTATTGCTCCAAGAACTGAAACCTCTACCCCTGCATGACCGCCGTGCCCAAGGTGGCTTCCACTGTATCACCCACCAGTCCTTCTCTGTCCACAAACAGAGAAGCATGCCTTCCCTAGCTGTCACCCTCACCAGCTGTATCAGGAGTTCTCTTCCACACACTCTAGGAACCTCCTGGACTGTTTCTTCTCTGCTGCGCTGTACTTACAGCAGACACCTGGTAAGTTGAAGTTCCCCACAAGAAAAAGGGCCAACAATTATGAGACTTAGCCCATCTCCCTATAGAATATTTTGTCTGCCTCTTCACCCTGGTTGGGTGTAACACTCCCACCTTATTGGCCTTCCCAGAGTTTCCATTGCAAGCACTCCAGTATGAGTCATCTCACTGTATTTTTGTGGTGGCAACTATCAACATATCAATGGTCCAGATACATACTGAAGAGATGATGGATGCCTGTCCCTTCCCACCAGTTCTGTACCTCACAGAGGAAGGTGAAGATGCCCTGATGTTCCTTGAGGAGCTTGGCAATTGTGAGGCTGCTCTGCTTGATCCCACCTAGCGGGTCAAAGAGGAGGTCACGGTTGAGGGTCCCCTTCCTCTCCTCCGTCCACACGTCGATCTCTTCCTGGTGGTACGCGAAGGTGCAGTTATCCCCGTACTTACAGTCCTGCTTGTTAAGCATATCTACAAAGCAACAAACAGCACACACCACCACACAGGCAAGGTGGCCCAGTCAGAAACTAAACTCTCTCTCATCTTCTCCCACTGCCCACACCTCACATGGAACTGAAAGCAAGAAAACAGAGAGCTAAAAGAAAAAGGAAAAGACATCTCCTCCTAAGTGCACCTATATCAAGACATTCAGGGGTTAATGCAAACTACTGAATGGTGACAATCTCAAGTAATGCTGCTATTGGGGAAATCATCTCAGAACAAGAGATTTAATTCAGCGCCTGGCCAGGGATAAATCATGACTTAACTAACACCTTTTTGAAGTACAGATTAAGTTCTCCCATAGGCCCAGCAGTAAGGGGCCATTTTAGCTTGGTTCTTGCAATCTCCCCACCTCATTGGGTACTTTGTAATGACACTGCCTTGGGATACCAGTCTGGTAACACTGCCTGCATGTATTGTGGGATGGGCTGGAGCAAAGGAGCAGGCAGAGAATACTTCCCTAGGCAGAACCACAGCCCTGCTTCTGATGGAATAGGACACCCTAGAGCCAGCAGGCAATATCAAACAGAATTTCCCTCCCAGTCTCCCCTGGTACAGCCCCTTCCCAGCAACCAACTGCCACAGATCACCTTTGCACAGATAATAGGATCCTACAAAGTTGGTTTTGGTTGGGCGAGGACGGATTCTCTTCCAGGTCTTGTCTTCTGAGCTCTTCAGCCTGCCCAGGAGGATGTCCCGCTTGCACTTGTGCTCCAAGCCTTCCCGATAGGTGTAATCGCCAGCCTTGGGCCCTGCCAGAGAGAACAACCCCATCAGCCTGGGGAAAGCCAATTCCTAGTCTGTGCTAGTGCTCTGGTGGCAGAGCAAATGCATCACCTGTTTTGGGGTAGCAGATATGACAGGCCTGTTTGAAAACATGAGTAGATGCCAGGGGGTTCTTCACCAGCAGAGCCGTGTTGGGCATTACTGGTTCTGGCTGGGACAGCAGGTGCTCGGTGGCCTTGGGCACAGCTGGGTGACTCACTCCACCAAGGCTGACCTGAGTGAAAACACACACACCTCTCTGTTCAGCTCTGCAACCACATGGGCAAGAGACCTCTCCACCCCCCTGCCCCGCTCCAGTTTCTCATTTTCTCTCTCATCAAAATGTTCACACCTGAAATGACATTTCCAGAAGAGATGACCACAACTTTTTCAAAGAGAATGAACACTGTGGTGTGTTCACTTCAAAGACAGGCCTCTTTCCTACTGGTAAGAGACCTCAGTTTTCTATCATGAGCCACAGAACAAAATGCCTTCCTCACTCCTTCCCATTCCTTCCATCACAATCTACTCTGCAATGAAAGACTTTTAAATCAACTTTATCCCAAGCTAACAAAAAATACAAACTGCTTATCAGTCAATCTTCAGGATATTCACATTGATGCTAACAGGGCCAGCAGGGGACAGGAACTCAAGAATAACTTTTGTTCCAAGCTTACTAATCCTGCCCTTTTTCTCCAAAACTGGAGACATATGACAGGAGCAGAACATCTGGAGAAGCCTCCTGATAGGGGCAGAGAGCAACAAATAACTTCAGTAGCCTGAAGTCAAAGTTGGCTTACTCTGCCCTGTCCTTGAACATTATGTGGCTGCCAGATACAGTGGGACCTCAGCTTCCACGATCCCCTGCTGACCTTACAGCCTTGGTCACGCCATGTTTACCTTGGCAATATGGAGTTAAGGATAAAAACAAAGATGGAACAAATGTCTTCCTACTGACTCAGTGGGAATCTTTACCTGCCTTCCCACAACATGGGAGGCAACACTCACGAGGGCAGGGTAAGAGGAGGGACCCAAATTACCTACATCACCCACTACTATCATCACCACTACTACCTTGGCTCCAGAGCAACCTGGGACGTCGGCACGGGGCAGTAGCTCACTCACCACTGGGGCTGGTTTTTGGCTGCCGGGTGGGTGTCGCAGTTCCTGAGAGCTAGTTTCTTCTGGGCAAAAGAAGGGGAAAAAAGCCCCACAAAACAAAACCAATCATTTCACTCTCAGAGGCAGTTCTACTCACAAAAGGACAAACAACAGCTTATTATATTAATTTGCTTTATTTATTTAATGTTTTAATACTTTCTTCCCAAAGCACCTGTCTAGACTCAGAAAAACTCCAGGAAATGCCTTCTTGTCCCAGAAATCCTACTGGACCCGATTCTATGCTGCTGAGAACTGGCATTACTAAGATGGCAACCCAAAGCTGAGGTGAATGTGAGTGTTCAACTGCTGGCCAAAGTGGCCAATTTCTGCTGTTCTCAAAATACTTTTGCTGCCAATATACTGCAATACTGGGAACAAATTAACCAAGAAGAAGCCCACTTCCCTCCTGAACAGGAGGTGACTTAGTCTTTGCCCACCATCCTCCACAGCTTTTCTCCTTATGACATGGGAGTTCAGAGCCCCATTTGAGAGTACACTCATTGCCCTGAATCCAAAGATGGGAAAGACCTACCTTGGCCTCTACCATTCTGACCAGAACAACAAGGTGCTGTATCATCTAAAGCAGTCATTACCATTCTGCACACTTTGTGCAAAATGTCAAAGAGTCATTGAGGAGGAAGGTGGAGGAATCATGCTATAGTCCAGCAAATTGTGCCAAGGGAGGTGCTCTGGACACCAAGCCAAGTTTAAATCTCATCACTCATCATTATATACCTTTGCTCCTTTCTCCTCTTTAGATTTCACTCCATGCAGGTACTGGTTATCTGGGATTACATACCAACAGATTTTTCTCATTACTTTTGAGCTAAGCACTATCAGTTACTCTGTCCAAGACAATTCACTGCTCTCTTCTACATTTATATTCCCGTTCTGTCACACCAGCAGAGAAAGCTACAAGACATATGTCCTCAGCATTGAAGGAAATAATTTTGGCATGCATTCACAGCTAAGGCAACACAAAACCACATCACCCTGCACCTACCAATGGCAAAGGAATCCAAGGTATCCAGCGACCCCCTGCTTGTCCCAAAGGAATCCAGGGCATCAAGCCGTGTATCTGTGTATGGAAGCAGATCCAGGGAATCCAGCGAATCTAAAGTGGAGCCGCCACTTCCTCCTGGTGGGGCCTCAAAGGCATCCAGAACAGAGGAGGAGGAGAGCTGCTTGGTGGGATCCATCACCAGGCCAAAGGAGGCAGGTGGCAGAGGGGTAGAGACAGGGATGCTGGCTGTCACAACTGGAGGCAGCAGTGGAGTTCCCCCCGGGAACACAGGAATCAACTGGGGCATCTCTGTTGGCAGGTTGGTAGGAATGGTGCCCTGGACCAAAGACTTCAGGGGAGCAGGAAGGAGGATAAATAGTAAATTAGTATTGAGCAGCAAAGACTGAAAAGAGATGTCTTGGTTTTGCCCAGCACAGAGTTAATTTTCTTCTTAGTAGCTGGTACAGCACTGTGTTTTGGATTTAGCATGAGAATAATGTTGATAGCACACTAATGTTTTGGTTATTGCTAAGTCATGCTTACTCTAAGTCAAGGACTTTTCAGTTTCCCATGCTCTGCCAAGTGAGCAGGTGCACAAGAACATGGGGGAGAGCACAGCCAGGACAGCTGATCTGAACAAACTAAGGGGATATTCCATACCACAGAACATCATGCCCAGGATATAAACTGAGGGAAGTTGGTCAGGGTCACTGACTGCTGCTTAAGGAAGGCTGGGCATTGGTCAGCAAGTGGTGAGCAATTGTACTGTGCAACACTTGTTTCTCTTGGGTTTTAATCCTCCCTCTCTCTCCTTCTCTATTATTATTGTTGTTGATAATATTGTATTTTATTTTGTTTCAATTATTTAACTGTTCTTATCTTAAGCCACAAGTTTGGGTTTTTTCAGTTATCCTCCTCACTGGGGAAGGGGAAGGAAGAAAGTGAGTGAGCAGCTGTCTGGTACTTAGTTGCTGACTGGGGTCATACCATGACAACAGAGAGCAACAGGCTCCCAGTGAAGGGTGTGTTGTACTAGCTGGAGCAAAAGGATACCTGGCAGCTCAATCCACCTGCAGACTTCCCACAGACCTCCCAATCTTTTTATACTGCAAACAGTCTGGACCAGGATCCCTGAGGAGATGTTGGGATACCTGAGTTCATCAGTCAGCAAGGCAGTGCCCTGCACTGGGCACTTGAACCAGCTCAGGTTGAGAAACAAGGCAGCTGAGTACACACAGTGCAAAGGTCAGGGTAATGATCACAACCCATGACACCTCTCATCAGGGCTTTTCCAACATGAAAATCACTATATTCCTTCCAGACCCAAGGTGGCTCACATAAGCAACACTGGCAACTAAAATCTAACATAAGTATGAATACAGATTGTTTATGCAGCTCCCAGACCTCTTCAACAAGCTTAGGCTGACTGCAATCTGCACAAAATACAAGTAGATTAGAGCATGCCCACTGTATAAAATACATCCATCATTCCTGCTTCACCACACTCCTTTTACTATTCTCACACTTGCTTCAACTTCACGGACATGAGAGGCCAGGTGGAAGGAGATGTCAGGGGAGGGCTACCCTGGGTATATTTTGAGAGACAGCTCCCTGAAGCTGCACACAGCAAAGCACGCTTGGAGGACTCTACATACTCACAGTAGCAGAAATAAAGGAAAGAATGAATGAGTTTTCCCAGAGGAAGAGGTAGGAGAAAAGAATTACAGAAAGAGAATGAGAGGCAGCATGCACATCTCATGCTCCAAGGACTTCCAAGGACCTATTTAGAACAAAGAAGCAGCAGACCCATGCAGCACCCGCTCTTACTAGAGGGTATGGTGACCCTTCAGCAAGGGAATCCAGGAGGGAGTCTAGTTCTTCCCCAATGATATCCCCATCTGTGAAGTCCTCTGTGTTCTCAGGCACTGGCAAGGGTACACAGTCTGGAGATGGGAGCAAGCCGGCAGCAGGAAGCGAGGTGGGCAAGCCCTTTGCATCTGAGTCAGAAGGCAAAGGGGCCAGCCCCTCATTCACAGGGATGGAGGTGGCCACAGGAGCTGGGAGGCGCTGCAGGTCCATAGAGCAGTCTGTGATGAGAGAGAAACAGAGCCAGTCACCAGGAGAGCCTCTTGCAGGAGACAAACAGAGCACAACATGGCAAAACCAATACTGTACAACTCCATCAAATCACAAAAACCAAGTATGCCAATTTTATGAGAGAAGAGGCTCTACTCTGAAGAGTACTTGCCCTTTCATTTTTGTTCCCACTTTCCAAAGGCTCACCAATAGCTAAAATACATTCTAAGGGCCGGTGCCCAGTCTGACTGTCAGGATTTGGCAAGCACATACAGCAACCAGGAACAACACAAAACCTGTGGCTGAGCAGTTACCAAATTCATTATGGCCAGGACTAAAGGCCAGAGGCAAGTAATACAATTTCTCTATGACCCACCACCTGGTGTTTACTTTAATGTTCCTCACTAATGCATTTGGCAGAGATCACTGCCTTCTCTACTCCTTGGAGCTTTGATATCCCAGCTGAAAGCTTGCTTACTTGCACACCCTCTCTAAAAACCCAGGCATCCTAAATGGAAGAAGACAAAAAACACAAGGCCCTGTTGAGAGGAGAGTCAGAGCTTGAGTGGTTGGATCAGGTTGTGCTAACAATGTGTCCCAAAAATTCCCATCAGACTCACTCAGCTGTCTTTACCCAAGTAAATTCCCTGCTCTTGAGTCCTTCCTGATGTCCAAAAGTGGGAGGTTGCTACTCATTTCCCCCCTCAATATCTGATCAGCAAACATGCCCTTGGGATGCTCATGTGAGGCAGGGTTGAGGCAGGAAAGAGGCAGAGGCAGTTTCCCTAAGGTTTCTTCCCCTCTCCAGTACATTACTGAAGTAATAAGATGTTTCCATCATGCAATACAAACCTCTGTTAAGTGAAGTTAAGGTTGCAAGCACATGTTCTTCACAGAAGAGCATTTTATTCTCAAAAAAATTAAAGGTTAAAAAAAAGTTCAAATGTTAGAAATTTGGAAAATGCAGCATTACATTTGCACTTCTCAAACCAAGCACCCAAACTACCTTAATTCTGCCCCTGTGCAGATGTCCTGGAATAAAAGAAAAGAAATAAGACAAAGATGCTGCTTTCTTCATCGACATCCCATTGGCTGCACTGTAACTGCAACAGAGTAAGGCTATAAAAGCAAGGCAAAGTTTGGAAGGAGAGACAATAGCTTTTATCAGAAAGACTGATAAAACTGGGAAAGAAACTAGACAAGCTTCAGAGACGCAAAACTTGATCCAGCAAGAAATGCTGTATCCTGTCTGTACCAGGTCTTTTCACTCAGCCCCCAAGAGAACTTGGCCATTCCTCTGCATCAGGGACCAGGACAGTGAGCCCTGTTACTGGCTGCAAACTGAGAGCTTCTTCTCAGAGAGCTCAGCAAATCAGCAATTCCAGCAAACCCCCAAGTCCTGAACAAAACAACAGCAGAGATGACAAACACAGGCATGCCTCCTTATCTCTCACCCCACCCAGAGCACAGCACTAACCCCTGCAACCTTTCCTCCAGTATTTTTTGTGAATGGCCCACATGGATGGACTGCAGCAAAGGTCACTGTGCAAGGCACTGGAGGCTGAGCCATGAAAAAAGACAGGGAAGCAGGAGAAGTGGCAAGGAACAGACAGAGGTCCCTCTCCACATCCTCAAGCATGCCACTGAAGGCAAACACATGTTGTACCTTATGGGATCCAACACAGGATTTCGGTGTGCAGCTGAATGCATTTCCCACAGGCTGTGCATGTCCTTAGTTTTGCAGCTGCCCCACCAATCAGGCTCTGCTCCAACCCCATGCCCCCTTTGCAATGACTTATCTCATCTCATCCTTTGGTGCAGAACCCCCAGCCACCAGGGAGCCAGCTATCCAGCTTTTCTCATGGCTGGAAGCTTGGCCAGATTCCCTGCAGTACAAAGGGATGGCTTGTGCTTTCCAATTTTTCAGATGTTTAAATCTGGAGTAGTGTCAAGATCCCTACAGAGGCCAACAAGAAGTTCAGAACATGCCAGAAGGGATGGGGACACGTGCAGCGGGGAGCAAAAGGCTGCACAATGACAGGGCATCCAAAAGGATCCAGTAGTTCAGACCTTCTCTGAGGACCAAATGAGGCCCTGCATTTTCCACTCAGACTGGGAAGCAAAGAAAAGAGGCCCTCACACACTCTAAGAGGCCAAACCCAGAAATGGTGAATGCATGACCAAAAGGCAGACAACAACATGAGACCCCCACAGCTCAGTGCATGTGAAGGGCAAGGAAAAGAGCAGGGACCAACAGGTTCCACTACTTGCAAGTGGAAGAGGGAAGATGTCCACTCCCCTCTCCCTGACCACTCAAACACTGTTATTCCTTCAGCCACTTCCTTCCACTCTACTCTGTCCAGTCTTTTTCCGTCTTTCTCCTTTCCCATTCCTGCTTTCCTCAGGACACCAGATCTGCTGATCTCACTCACCAGCTGTTATACCCACATCTCATGTACTCTCCTTACAGAATGCTCAGGCATCCTCTGCATTCCCCTAACGTTTGCTCCATCTTAAAGGAATAAAACAGCTTTCTTTGATGAGCAGCTCACAGGCACACCCACACCTGCTGATTTCTGCCCCTGCCATCACACTCAGCCCCACGTATTATTATAAGGTCAACAAGGGGCTTGTCCATACATGCTCATGAACCAAGTCTCTCATACCAAGCCCCCCCAGCTGGTAGCTTCTCTGGCCGTACACCTGCCTGTCTCCAAGGGACAAGCTTTTAAAAGCACTGTTTCTAGCTCTGCTCTCCAAAACAGCAGTGGTTTCCTGGTGTATTAGCTGGCCAATGGCCATACTGAGCCAGATCTGAGCCATCATCTCTCTGCAGGACTGGGCTGAGTTAATCAGATAACTTCAAGCAAATCATGGAGGAAAGGCTTCAAGAGTCTGCACTTTAAAACAAAACAAAACAACAACCACAAAAACCCTTGCTAAAAAAACTCTTCAAATCTGAAACTCTCAGGGTACCCAGCACCCACAGTTGTCCTGGTGGCACACCATGCTCAGGGCAATTGGATAACAATTCCAGTGCTTTGGCAAAGATTTCCTAGCAGTAAAGGCTCTGTCTGCCTGATCTGCAGTAAAGGTGGCATGCTGCTCTTACACCAAATCCAGATTAGATAAAGAGCTTACTGGATGCAGTCATTCGTTAGTCTGTAGTAGGAGTCCAGTTAATTTTAGCACAGCAAGATAACCTGAAAAACTCTCCTCAATTCACAGAACTGGGTCTCATGATCTCATGTAGCAAGCAGATACTAAACTGGCATTCAACAGAGAACTAACATGCTTTCCAAAGCACCCTAATCATGAAATTAGTTTCTTTCTACAAAAAAAAAACAATTGCCACTTGCAGTAGTTAGTCCTCACACTTACCTTCACACACACAGAGCGACCTTACAAAGGAACAAAGACTGATGTGCTCAGAGGCAGAAGTTCAGTGCTCCAGCACACAAGGTAGCAAGCCTTTCTACCGGGGCAGAGTTAAGGTCACTTGTTTCCCAGCATGAGAAAAGCAACACTGCTTATCTTCCTTCTTCTCCTGGGTGCCTAACTCTGAACTCAGCTCTCCCTGCGTCCCTCCCAATTCCTTTGTTTTCAATTCCTCCACCTCAATGTCTTGGAGGACCATATGCACTCAGAGCAAAACAACCTTAACTTCACTTTATCTGGATTGTTTTACCTTGGAGCAGAATTTCAGAAGCTTTGCCAAGAGCAGCTTCAAGAAAACACAATTGGAGAGAGCTGTATACTTCAGCAGACCCTTTTAACTCCCAGACACATCTCTCACTGTGCCTGGACAAAATCTGGTTTTTCAAGAAAAAAACTCCTGCTTTGCACCACTTTTTCCTTCTCCCAGTTACCAAAGTTAGGAGTGTGCAGAAGAGACACAAATGCAGGTGATGAACCTCTCGAGCCTGCCAGCCTGGTCACACACCATACTGAAGCCACAAAAGTCTGAGGAGAGCAATATCTTTACCTGTTTCAATGTCATCTATTGAGCCCAATCCATTGGAAGTAGTCTGCAAAGAGGATGTAGGGAAAGGGAGAGGACAAATATTGTAAGAAGTTATTAAATAGACATCCACACTTCACATATGTGACTCTTCACTACTCCTAAATGTATATGACCCTTTCTTTTCCTTTATGGCCTTTTTCTGTGCTGGAACAGTAAAACCAATGGACTTTAGGAGGCCATTGATCCAAGGAAACTATTCATGTTTACCTTCAGCAGCCAACAAATCCTTTTGCTGCAAAGGAAAACCATGTCTGCACAATGTCCAACCATGTGAGCAACTCCATGCATAGAATAGGGTATTTCATGTGTGGATGAGAACACTGTGTCCCAAGTCCCAGGACACATCAATTGGTCAGCCCACCGCATGGGAGATCTGATTAGCCTGATCTTACACAACGTTCCTTTTCTTAGTTCACATATTTTGCAATCTAACAACCACAAACTTCTACAGCAAATTCAAAACAGGAAAATGTTTCTGCCAAGACAACTGCTGACTTGGAGCTCAAGGCAAGGAATAAATTGAGTCCATATTTTACAGAAACATAAATAGAGGTAAGTACGTGTGCCTTCAGATTAAGCTTAAAAAGGCACAAGTAAAGCATTTGTCTTGTAATATTGCATCTACTACAGTGGGTTTTGCACTGTTTTCAATTCTTATAAAAGGAAAAGATTTTGAAATTAAAAACTAGGCACAACTATTAAAGAAAGTTGACTGGCCTTGCTAGAAGGATGTGAAGCCACATCACAGAACAGTGAGAGGTAAACTAGTTCTTTAGTAGTTTGTTGTACAAAATTACAATGTTTATAGTTTTATTGTTTATTTGATTTAAGGAGCATTGTGAAATACCAAACAGCCTGTAAAAATAGCAAGTGCTTGTTTGTTGGGACTTTTTTTTGCCCAGTGGTAGACCAAGGAAACCAATAATTTCTTATATTTTACCTTAGTATTTGTACACTGCCCTGCCCATCTGGGTCTCCCAGGACAATACAAACAATACACAAACTGTGTATGTACCTTACTCAGTACACCATAGAATTTAATTTTATGTTTCTTCAGCAGTTGCACTTTCTGACTTTTCTTAGCATCGTTGTTAGACATTCAAAACATTCATTTTTGAAAACAAAAATTTATTTAAAATGCAAGAGATAGCAAACATTCACAATAACTAAGTAAAATAACCATCTTTGGTGATCTAATTACCAACATAAAAAATTATGTCAGGAGAAATGTTTTCAAAGAAATTAATTTCTTGGCAATATCCCTTAAGAGCAGAAAACACTAATTAAAACAGTTCAAACCTAAAAGTCCGTTATAAATTTGCATGTAAATAAAACCTTAAAGCATTCTAGTAGCACAATCCATAAATAGTAACAACCACAGGATGCAAACTCTACCTGGTTTGATGAATTGATTGACGTGCCATTACTGAGTAGTGAGAATGTTTCCAATTCCTGCTGCAAGGAAGAGAGAGGTCTTAGAGCAGAATTCAGCCCATGAATGCTCATAAACTAGGTAAAGCAGGGTTACAATATGGGTTCCTTCCAAGCACTGCCCAAATATAAAAGCCACCCAAAAGGTTACCTTACCCCACTGTGACAAAAGAGTGCACGTTTGTCAACACTGAAAAGGGACATTTACTTGTTCCATACATCTGAGAACATCCGACCCACAACCAGGAGAAAAAAAAACTTCCTTGAGAAACAGATGGGTTTGCTTTTTATTAAGAAATTATCACTTTGGGAAGGCATTACCACACTGGAGTGAAAGCTGGAACGCTACACAAAAGATGGCAAAGTTTTAACAAAATACCAATCACAGAATTTCAAACAATAAAAAGCATTGTGGAGTGTTTAATTTTTATACTTCTAACATAGAGGTGGTTTAAGCCCATCTCAGCTCTGTAACATGACAGTGGCAAAAAAGGTGGCAAGGCCAACACAGTGAACAGCTACAAAAAGTATTTCCACATAGAATTCCCTTTCTTTGAGACAGAAACACTTCAGAGTGTGGAAAGCTGCTATGAGATCAAGGAGTTTTCTTAGGTTAGGCAAATCACACACGACATTTGTTGGGGAGAGGATTAACATGTTACAGCCAGATTTACCCTAAAAGCTCTCTGCAAACCAGATGCCCACCAATCATGCCACCTCATGCTACAGAGGGGCCCCTCTGCAGATGGAACACACTGTTCGTTTAACAGCCCCATGCTTGGGGCCGAGGATGCAAACACAAACGTCAGACTCCGCTACTTGCTCGTGTTCTCTGCTCCTGAGAACAAAATCTGTGACCAAGGCAGCTTATGGGAGAGCAGCTTTATGGCTAGCAGTGGCCTAACGCCCTCTAGCTCCATCCCAGGGTACACGTGTAAACATCTACAGCACCTCCGTGTAGAGCCAAGTTACAGATCCAGCCACTGGGGTCAATCAGCTTCTGACCAGGTGTGCACCCACTGTTCTCCCACAGCCAAGCCTTTCCCCCACCACAAAGAAGTGTATGCCTAGGAATGGGGCAGAAACCCTTCATGATCCACTGCACTATAAAACCAGCCATGTCTCCACTGCAGCAGAGGATCCCATCCTTCTCATCGCATAACAGGGAGAGGATTATGATGCAAAACCTGCTTTGGGATCAGGCCCTGTGTTCCTCTCCTGCAAACCACACAGTAGGCATCTACTGCGTTGGAAGTTTCTCCTGCAGCACCAGCTGGGTCACAGAAAACATCCTGGCAGTAGACACAGAGCAGCTATGGGGCTAGAAATGGATCAAGGCAAAGTGAGTCAGAGGGTCAGGACAAGGAGGGTTGCCAGCGGCCTGCTAGAGTTGGCAGGGTTGTGTACACATGTCTGTAACTGCAGAAAAGCAACTACCACTTCTGCTAAAGTAAATTTGTACAAGCAAAGGACAGCCTTTAAGACAAAAGAAGTCATACCTGAGGTCTTTTGTATGCTTTTCGAACCCTCAGTCCCAGCTTCTGGGCAAGCTCCTGCCCCAGTTGTGTGACACTTTCATCCTGGGGACAAAACAATTGATGGGACACTTTCAGTTTTGCCTTTGTGGCACACAGGATGAAATAAAGAGGAATGCAGTTATGCACATTGGTCTGCACCAAGCCTTAACTTCAGACAGCAGCAGGATAGATAATTTCCAGAAGAGCCCCAGGAGAGTCCAGAGTTCAGCATTCTTGTCATTTAGTCCTGCCAAGGTGCTGCAGTTGCACCAGGAGTTTTGCCCTATACTCATTCAATGCTGCAGAAAATCAGAATCAAGTATCTGCTTCCAACAAAGCACCCGCTCTGCAAAAACAGGGTTCAGGAGTCCTGCAGGCAAGTTGGCTGAAGGAGCTGCCAAGGCTGGCTGCTGATACAGCTTCCACAAGGTCTCCGTGCCTGGGAAGGAGCCTGCATGTCTTCCCTCTCTGCCAGCTGCAGAGTTAATCATCAGTTTTGATATGCAGACAGTACCCACTAGCCTGTTCTGCTTGTTACTTTTTAAAGCTGAAACCAAGCCCCAGTTTTACTTGCTAGCTAGAAGGCATTTTGACTGTCTCCAGCTCCAGCTAAACTGCCTCAGCCTAGTCAAGCAGATCTTCAGCTTTCCCCATTGTGTGTCATTTTACCATCCTCCCTGCCCAGTGTCCATGCCCACTCACACACTACCATGGGCTTCCTGCCCAGACTAACAACCTGCCACAGTCTTCTACACTTACATATCACTAGCAACTGTTTCCTTCTGTTTTCCTCTCTCTCCCTGCTTGCAAAAATATCAGAGTACTTCAACAGTTTTTCCAAAGAGGAAAAAAAAGTATCTATCTGCCCAACCTGTTGTGATAGCCCGCCTTAATCTTCCAACATTTCCCCCCTCATGTCCAACCTTGAAGCCTGCCCTCTTCTCTCTACTTGCCATGCTGGTCTTTCTAATCTCCTTCTCCCTGCACGTTGAGTCCTTTCCCTTTCAACAGCTGAGAAGCCTCTGGTTCTTCCAGCCCACCATATCAGTAACTTTTCCCTTCAATCTGGAGTGACATTTTTTGATTGTGCTCCCCCACACCCTCAACATTAGTCTTGGCACCATCTTCACTGAACTCAGTGAAAACAAAATCTAGCTTGTCCATTTCTTCTTCTAAAACATCCCATGCCATACCAAACACAAGTGTACCACAGAGAAGTATTAACTTCACCATACTGAGAATTGCAAACTTGCAGCACTGACTATCTGCACCCAGAAATAAGGGAACTCTGACAGACAGTGAGCCAAATGAGTGGCACATCCTTTATCATCAAAAGTTTTAAGACAGATTTTGTTTTGACCACAACAAAGTTCTCAGAAATTACAGCAATGTGAAGATGGATGTACCATGTGCTCCAGAGGGTAATGGAAACAGGAGTGAAATGATGGATAGCATGACTTGCCTTTGATGCAGAGAAGGCTTATGATTTCTGTTAGGCAGGTAATAAGACAATGGGGTATGTTAATTTACAAGGCTGAATTGTTTAGACTAGGAAACACAGATCACTCAATATGGAGATTTTTAGGCTGAACTTTCCTGTTACAAAGTTTGATAAAATAATTATAATAATGGCAGCTATATAAACATAACTATATAGTTAAAATAACGATTAAATTAAGTGGCTAAACTGCAATGTAAAATATAGCCACATATAGCTTAACAAGAACAGCTACCTTAGATGTTTTTGTTAATCAAAGGGTTTGTTTATAAAACAGTTCCTTGGGACTCCCCAAAAATTATATCTTTAATATATTTTGGTAACCCTGTACTGCCAAGTCAAAGAAGCTAGAATTTACAAGCTGTACAAAAGGAATAACTAACTGCTAACAAGGCTTTCAAAGATTGCTTCTATAACACTAATAATAAAGGAATGTTAACTTCTCCTGCTGAGGTGGATGCATTTTTCTTGTAATAACATTACTGTGATGAATCAGAACCAACATCAGCAAAGTGTTCACTTGAATCCATGTAATCACAGTTTGCTTTCCAGATCAATATTTGGCCTAAAGGATGCTCAAAAGCACTATGAGGAATATTTAGTAACTAGTATATGCAGATAGTCCTCTCCACATGCAAAAATTCACACACCCCTGAACACAAAAATAACTATGCCATGTGATGTCAAGGACACTTTTGCATCTTCCTCAAGAAATAAAAAGCTTGATTACTTTGCCTTAGCAATCAGGAAGTGAAATGTGAGACACTTGTATCCAATACAGGAAAACCAGCCATGTTTTCCTTTCAGAGCTCCAGTTCTCATTTATCCCATGCTCCTAGTAGTCACTTCCATTAGAGATAATAAAGCAGCCAATTAAAGCCTTCTCATGGCTTTACCTTTTGTTAGAGTAGGGGTTTGTTCTTCACAAACAGACCACGAACCTGCTGTCACTAACTGGTGTCCCTGGCTGGCACTATCTGTAAGAGGTGACTTGTCCTGAAGAAACATGTGAGGACAAACATCTTTGAGTCAGAGAAGCAGATTTTTTGGGCATAAGCATGTTCTTGGGAACAGACAAAACTTCTCTTCCACTATTCTCTGGCCTCACACTAAGCATGTTGAGCAGGAGAGGAAGGTTGTGAGCCACAAAAACCAAGATGAGTTGTGTGTCAAAAACTTACATGTGGGAGGGACAGCAAGCATCGGCTGTTGCACTCATACGCTTCCTTGTGTCTTCCCAGTTCATTTAAGGAACGGGCTTTCCGGAATAGCGCTCGGATGTTCTCCTTGTCGAGACTCAAAGCCTTCTCGCTGTCTTCCAGCGCCTTCTCATACAACCCCTGCATGGAACAGACCACCTGGAGTCAGCTGAGGCACAGCAGGCTAACTTGTCCTTCTCTGTGAATGCAAGTGTTCTATCTCTCAGCAGAAAACAGGAATACAAGCAGCAGGTGGAAGTACATATGTTACCTCATGCACAGACCAGCGTGAAAATACACCTACACTAACAGAACATTTTGTTAAATCTTGCAAAACTCAAAACACTTCAAAGTCAAGGAATGACAGAACTAAGGCTGCTTGAGCAACCATATCTTGTTTCCCCCTCTACCCTGAGCATGTTACACTTGAAAGTCTTTAATTATGTGACTGCTTGCTAATTTTCAGGGCACTCAGTGTCCTTACAAACAGGATGGGCCTGCTCTGGGGTTGTGCCATAAAGGAAAGCTGTTACATGCCTTAGTAAAATGGAAGCATGCAGCCTTTCAAAGCCTGGGTATTTCAGAATCCTTTTCCATGTGTATGCTGCAAGTTCCTTCAAGACCCAAAGCCTCCCTACTGTCTTCCAGTGTCTCAATGGAGGAGGCCAGAGCCTCCAGAGCAATAAACAGTATTCCAGAAAAATACTTGCTCAGCACTGGAAGACACTGGATGGGTCTAACTCCTCACCACTGAAGAGCAGAACTGCATTGTCAGTACCTTAGGCCTGGCCCCCTCTCTTCACATTCCTCCTCTGGTCTTGCAAGACACACTTGTGAGGAGACTGCAGATTTTTCTGTGTGTTGCTGTCTCCTGCAGTGTTTGAACAGGGAGTGGACAAAACCAGGTGAAATGCCTCATGGCATCTTTTCCAACTGCACAGCACTGCAACCCTGGCTCCTGGGGATGACTTGGGAAAGCACTCACCATGGCAAAGTAGCAGGCAGCTCGGTTGACATGGAGCTTGCAGAGGAGTTCCTTTGGGATGGTCACCTCATCAGAGGCTGCATAGTCTGCCACATTCAGCCCTTCTACATACTGGACCAGGGAAAGCTTGAAATCCTTCTCTCGGAACAAATCATTGCCCTCTGCAAACAAGTTTCTCACCAGCTTCTGCAAAAAGGCCTGGGCAGCAGGGAGAGAACAAATAGACTCACGTGGATATTCAGAAACAGGAGAGGCTTCCCAATTTCCCATTCATTTCCATATCTTTTAGCAAACTGCTTGCCCACTAAGATATTAGTGCATCCCTACTCTCCTGTAAAACATCAGGTTTTTTGGTAGAGGAAAATAATCCAGTCAAATTCCCATTCTTCTTGAATACTAAAGTGTCTTCTCCTTTCCCTGAAAGTTCTCATCATCAGAACATTAAAACTTTAAGTCACAGGCAAATTGTGACAGATCATCCCACATTCTTCACTTTTGGCATGTAAAGTAATGCCTGTGCAACAGAACAAATCTTGCTAACCAGAGGGCTCCCAGCTTCAACAAACAAAATCTCCATTACCTCATAATCTTCTTGGCTTAGGGGTAATGTGGACCTGAAGACAAAGAAGAGAAAATATTCATGAAACAGGCAAACGCAACAAACAATGCAAACAAGGGCTTTTGTCTGATGAAGAGATCCTTTTTCTGGTCTTGTGCTGGTGATCTCAATAAGTTACTGAACATTTTATCACTGCAAAGGCAGCTGAGGCAAAGAGAACACAGTTAGGGAGCACTATGCCCAGTGACAGTCACAGCAGTGTCAAGAGATGATCACATCTAAGAGGGACTTGAGACCAGAGGAGTCTTATTCTCATTTATTTTCTGTGCATACACGATCCTCTGTAATGTGCCTTCTGACAGTCACCTGAAAACCCATCTTTTATAAAGTCCCATGAGAGACTGCCATGAAGAATACAAGTGTATTTTATGTGCATCTGGCTCTAATGAGAGACACCAGAGTGGCACTCCAAGACCTCTTCAAATTCTTTGTGAGACTAGAGACAAACAGAGATAAATGCAATAACTTTTCTCTGTCTTAACTTAGCCACATGCCTTTAGGCCTACCCCACAAAAGGAAGGGAGAAAACAGTGCAGATTCAAGAGCTCAGCTCATTTAACTCCAACTTTCTTGGGCAAGGCTGAACCACAAACACTGGCAGCGCTTGTGAGGATAACATCTACCCTACAACAGCACTGAGACTCAAGAGAAAGGTCCGGTTCTTCAAATTGGACCACCCAATTCATCCAGGCTTGGTCCACATATATTTACTGTTTCTCTTCAAGGACAAATCAATAGGCTCCAGAGGAATCCTCAGCACCTTTCATAGATTTTCTCACCTACAGTGCATACATGATGTTATTAGTTACAGAATAAACGTTTTTTAGATTTCATCTAATCACTCCTTCAAACTAACTACAGGAAATGTCATGGCTTTGTAAGAAATATTCATGCTGCTTACATATTTGTACTCCCTCTTTTGTATCAAAACAAGCCAACATATGGCACTGCTCCTGGTTCAGAGTGCAAGATACACCCCAGATGCATGAACTACACCTCATATTTCTAAATTATTTTCTTCCCCAGAATTCTTGTGCATTTTTGTAAGTGCTACCAATATAAATCTCACAATTACCTCTCCAAAACTGGGCTATCAGCCCTATTTAGTCTCAGACTGGAATGAAAATATCATGGCCATATTACAGGATACAAATATGTAACATGGAAGATCTAGGGGGTTTCCTACTGTAGAGGCACGGATTTCAGGCATAGTAATTGCAGGACACAAAACAGACCTTAAGAAACCCCAAACCAATCTGATTACAATCTTACTACTTCCTTACTCATCATGGAACCTAGACCTGAGTCTGAGGCCTCTGCTAAGTCAAACACTGGAGGGAGGAATGCTACTGTATCTTATAAGGAAGTACTAGGATTTGTAGCTACTACATAAGCAATCACTTCAAGCTGTACAAGGCCACATGATATTCATAGAAGAGTGATCTGAGACATCCACATTACAGGCTGGCAACTGTAAAAGAACCCAGGTTATATATTTTTCCTATAGGCACCATATGGGGTGCCTAACAAGTTATGTGCCTTGTTTCCCCACCTACAGAACTGAAACACTGTCTCCCTTCCTAACAAAGGTGGGATAACCTTGTTCAGAGAGCACTTTGAGATCATCATGCTGAAGATGATGTAGAAGGTCCAAGTGCCATTAGCATTATGCTGACTGTAAAGATAATCCTGGAACTGCAGTGGAGGGCAAAACCAAAGGAAATTAAAATTACAGAATTTTAAGTTTAGGGAGCTCTAACAGGACAAGAAACACCCTGAAAAAAATCACAGTCAAAATCCTCAGGACAGTATCTCTTTCCCATGCAGCAAATCCAAAGCAGTAAATAGGAAAAACTCAGTTCCTGCAATCCTCAACAGAAAGATGACTGCTTCCAAATCCACAGGGAACACTGAGGTTGTCCACTTACTGAATGAACTGAAGTCCTTTCTCTATTTCTTGTTTTCTCTTCTGCCTCTCCATTATGGTTGCTGTGGAGGAAGAAGAAAAAGAAACAACACAAAGTGAGTCATTTTAGGTCTTGTTGGCAATTAAACAGCAAAGTATTTTGTTTGTGCCTGAATTTACTACTAACAAAATGTTCCAGACCAAATGCCCTGAACAGCAAAGCCCATGATTTATCCACACTGCAGATACAGCATGGCAAGCAGCTCACTACCAAGAATCTGCTTTTTCTCACATGCCACTGACAGGATACAGGGGCAAAGAGGAATTACTTCAATTTGAGCTCTCTGCTTAGGCTGCCAGTAAATAAAGCAATGGGAACCAACTGTTATCATGACTGCCTTCTAGGAAAGGGAAGAAACCCAACACCATCTTTGCCTGCACTGGCAGTCATTTCAGGAATTTGCACCTAGACCCTCCCATGATATGCAATTCTGACCACTATTTATCTGGGACAGATTTAAACTGGTTTACTGCGCATCATATGAAACATACCTTATCTACATAAGGTTTATGGAGATACAGCACAAAGGGAGATGTAAAGGAAGGAGATGAAATTGCTTGCTGTGGTCCACATAAAAGGACAGCACTGAACCCATGCAATGGGGATTTCACGCAGAAATTCAGCAGACAAGAGCAGCACAGACTGGGGAACACTTCTTTGGAGAGGGAACAGAGCCCTGTCCTGCAGTGCTTTAAACCGGGGTGGGCAGCACCTTATGAAGGCTCAAAAGCTATCTTCACTTCATCTTCTGCAGTTTGGGAGAAAATCTTGGAATGGCTCCCAGTGACCTTTCTCCAAGGTACACAGGTCTGTCACACAAGAAAAGAATAAGAAGGCGAGAAAGGATGGCACTTTGTGGCAAAACTGAGCTGCTGATGACAGCAAATTTCACATCAACCAGCTGTGACCACAAAAAATGCTCAGCATTTGAAGAATAGGAACTTGGGAACAAAGGCAGCAAGTAGAGAAACACTGAAAGGAGATGGAGATTAAGAGCCTGTACATTCCCAACCCAGGATTGCCTCTGAGAAGATACTAAAGTAATTTGTCCACCTCTACACTACAACAACTTGGAGGGCATTATCATCCAGCTCCCTTTTACATTAAGACCATCCCTATCATTCTAAGATATCTTGCAGTATCAATGACACACTCAGTCTGAACAGGTTGAAGGGGCCTTTAAGGTACATAAAAATCAATCCTGACAACTCAGCAAGCCCTTATTGATTATGCTCTGTGCCACACAAAATGTAGAATTGAACCTGCCCTTTACCAACAAGAAGAGTTGGGGGAAGCAGGAAAGACTGGAGTGAGAGGAAGTGGCAGCAGAAGGAAGCAAGAGCTTGAAAGTGACACTGTGCAGTTTCTAAGTCATCAGACAGTAAATTTGGGAGCAATCTGGTTCAAGCAGCAGGTAGGAGGCTTTAAGCAGCTGAACTTGGAACAGGATGGGCAGTGCAGCAAGAAAGCCAATAGACAAGGTGAGGGATGATCAACATCTCTACAAAGGCTTTTAAACAGAAGTGATGGAGAAGAGCTGATATACTTCAGTACAACATCAACAGAAGGCCTGCATTGATTCATAAATAGCCTGGATAATGAGCAATCAGGAAGAAAGAAGGAAATTTAACAAGGAGATTGTGAGGTTAACATGATCACTAAGGATACAGGCAGACAGGCTTGAGAGGTAGACAAGGAGAGAGAGGTAATTAATTTTTTTTTTCTCCCTGTGTGAAATTCTGCAAAGACAGAGGAAGTAAGAGAGAACAGAGAAGCAGAAGAGAAGCAATAGGAACCATTTCCACAAAGGCAGCAGTGAAAGACATGAAAGGACAGAGCCACCCCAGATCACTGTAAGAAACTGTGAGGGCCATCAGATATAAGAGTGAGGAAAGGGCCTCCATAGGAAATGACAAGAGAGAAACCATGGGGGAGAAGAAGAGGCGAAAGAATCAAGTGGACCATCCCAAAGGCTCTTGGGAAAAGCACAGGGAAAAGAATTTCTAGCTGAACACACTAAAAGTCTTGAAGCACTCCAAATAGCCTCACCTTGGACCCCCACCTCTGTCCTCTGTCCATTGTCTAGGAGCTCCGTTTCAGCGGAGGTCCAGCTCCTGCCTTGTCTGAGCTATACTGTAGGTGAACTTGTTCTCAGTTCTATTTCTGGGACAAACCTTAGACCTCCACTGCAGGCAGCTTGTTCCCAGTCCTGTCTCTGGCACCATCTCCTACCTCTGGACTCGCTGGGTGGACCTGCACCAGATTCACCACATCATCTTCTTTGGGACTGCTGATGGAGCACTCCTATTGGCATCTAGTTCTGCCTACACTGTTCACGTGTGGTGGGACTGTACCCTGTGAGTGAGGGCATTGCTGGTGACTGCCATCACCTTCAGCTACTTGCTTGTCCTGCCTGGAGGTGCAGCCCTGCTCTTGCTGCTCCCTGAGTCATGCTGGAGGGAACAAAAGTCAGGGAAGTGCAGCAGAAGCCCAAGGATCTGATGAAAAGGGAGATCATTGGCGACTGTGGGGAGGGCAGTGTCCAACTGGTCACCACCAAGTCAACGGCCGCATTCCAAAAATGCTGTGGCACACCTTTACAATTGTGTATATCCACAAAACACATCACCACCTTAAAAAGCTTTCAATACACATGGTCTACTTCTGTTTCTGAGCTCAGCCTTTAAAACACTACAAGGAGTGAAGAAGAGATCAGTACCTGTTCTCACAGCTACCTGACCCCGCTGCTAAAACATCCTACACAGCAGGATGTGAGCCTGTGCTACAGAGAGAACTGATTACTGCTGCTTGCCCAGAGAGAAGGGCATGCAAACGTTACTGACCCAAACCTGGAGTGCAGCCAAAGGACTACTGGGAATGGCTACAGAATGTCTCTTTTCTAGAGTTACCCAACTCTTCTTGCATCCTGAAGCTCCCCTTCTGTTTTTTCCTCTCCTCATCACTACTGCCACTGCATGCAGCATGAATATCCCCCCCCACCCTTGCTTCATCTGGATGGCTGACCAGCCTATAGCATCTCTGTAAGTCCCACAATACACAGCTACAGTTTGATCCTTGCTACAAAACCCTGGTAAAAGACAACCTTCTGTGCCCTGAATGCTGTTTATGCTCTGCAGTTCTACCCTTATCTTCCAGAGTAAACGTTCTTCAACCCAAAACCCTCCATTGCCTTCTTTAAACATAAAACATAGGCCTGATCTCCCCTCTAGACTGCTGCTCCCTGGTACTGCCCCACACTCCTCCCTCCCTGCAAGTGGGTGACCAGCTTTCTCTGCTAAAGGTCTGTCACACCTCCAGGTTTATGTCATGACTTTGCACATAAGACTCATCCCCTCACGGCAACACCTTCAAAGCACTCACCATGTGCTGCTACCCAACAACTTCTTGCACATCTCTCACAACAACTACCTTTCTTTCTCCTGCAATGTGACTCCACACCAGCAATCTCCTTCATGTGTGGCAGACCCTTCACCTGTCCTGCCTGCCCCAACCACTGCAGGAGGCTGCCAATCAGACTCCTCTTTTGGCTCCTCACACCTCCTCCTCCACCACCTCACCAGCAAACTCAGTCACTTCTGCGTCCCCTCATCGTTCCAGCCTCTTCACCGTGTTGCATTTAACATTCAGACCAAGCCATGCACTTGTTACACCAGCAAACCCAACACACAGTGAGCCACCCACATGAGCAACACTTCAGTTCTGCTACACACTATACCACAGCTACTGCATAATTAATTTTAAGTGCAAAGCTTGTTTAGCTTTTGTTTTCTTGGGCTTTCAAATATTTTTAGAAACACAGTAGAAAATATTTTATGAAGCACTGTGTCTAAGTGCCCCTTTTCTCTCCCCCACCAAATCTCTCTGTCCAGACTTGTCCACTCAAATCACCAACAAAATTCAAATACTGAGTATTTATATCTCCACTACAAAACTCTTATCCTTTTAGTCCAGAGACATTTATCCTCCCTGGTCTAGCATCTAGAGAGAACTTTATTCACAGTTTGTCAACAAATTACAAACCATTTGCCAGACAGGAATAAAATGCTACAGACAAGCAAAATGGTTTTCTTGCCTTTAGAAGGAAGCATGAGACAGCGAACTGGGTGACTGAATCACAAACTGGGTGGATATCCTCTAGATGGGTAGATAATAGGAAAATGAGATGAACAGAAAAGACTTGAGTTTATCTTATCAAGGACACAGCTCTTATTGATAACCCTGCCAGAGCTGAATTTGGACAAAGTTTTTCATACTGTATTTCTGAGATGGCAATGAACTGACACTTGACTGACTTCCAGGCATTGACTGTAACATTTCAGCTACAAATAAGTACCCTCAGATGCAAGTGGCAGGTTGTAGAGCTGAGACTGGAGCTCCCCAGGAAAAAGGTTCCAGGATGCACTGGTCTGAAACATGGGAGTCTTCCTCTGCCTGCAGTTTGACCACCTTACTGGTGCAGCAGAATAGCTAACGGGGCATACATCAAGTAAAGGACAAACTACAGAACTCACTACAAACCTGGGCTCTTGCTCGCTCCTGCAGCTGCTTTCTGCCATGCCCCACTCCCTGGGTTTCACTGCTTCTCAGAGCCAAGCGCTCTTGGATTCCCCCCCACTGTGTTGTGCCCGGCGGGGCTGACTCCTCTGTCCCTCCCTGCACCAGCCGCCCCAAGGAACTTCCATGGCCACCATCTCACATCCCAGCACCCCACTGGTGCCACTCCTGCCTTGCAGCATCACTGGGGTCATTGGGGTGCCACCAGCTGCACCCAGCAATATTCACTGCACCCAGTGAATGCAGAGCAAGGCAGCAACAACCAGCTCACCCCCCAGTGAAAATAAAAGCAGTGAAACTCTTAAGTTTCCCTGAGAGGGAGATGGTGGTGGGGGCTAAAGCCTCAACTGACCACATCAGCCCCCATTACCTCGTTTTCCACCCGCTTCAGCCTTGTGTTCCACACAGAACACCTTCATGTACCACAGGCCACCCTTCCTCCTGCCCCCACTGCAGCGCAGCCAAGGAGCCAGGAGAGAGCTGGGGGGTAACGCTGCCTATGCCTAAACCACTTCTTCCTGGGTTTCTGCCCACCCAGCTCGCATTCCCGTGTCTCATTTGAAAAACTAAATCCGGGGGCTGGCTCCCACACGCAGGGCGCGGGAACCCTCGCTCGCTTCCTCCCCCCGCTGCCAGCACTAGGCCGCCGATCCCCGGCCTTGCGTAGAGGCCGCTGCCGGGAGAGGCGCCACCTCGGCCGCTGGAGCGGAGAGGGGCCGGCGGCGCCTCCCGCACCCCCGCCACTCTGCCGAACGCCGGCACCCCGGCACTCCCAACACCGCGGCCCTGCTGGGAGGGGTCTCCCACGGCAGGAGACATCCAGGCTTCCCCGGGAAAAGGAAAACAAACCAAAACATACTCTCCCTCCTTCCCCATCCCCCACCCGCTTAAATAAAAACCACGCATCTCCAAGAGTCTGGGAGACGGCTTTAAGAGGAAAAAAAAAGAAAAAAAAAAAAAAACAAGCCCCAACACATAACGTCCCCTGCCACCCGGAAACTGTCTAAAACATTAAAGAATTTAAACCAAAACAAACAAAACAAAACCCAAAAAAGCCAAAACACAGTCTTCTTTTTTGATAAACTTTAGAAGACCCTACGGAAGGTCCATCTGAAAAGCAATTCCAAAGGGCTTCTCTGCCGTTTCATGGGGTTTGCAACAAACAAGAGGGGGAAACTGCAGCCTAAATACAGACCAGAACACACATCCCGAACGTACAAAACACAAACAGGCACGAACGCGATTAATACTAAGTTTTCCACGTAAACCCAGGGTCTTTCCCCCTAGCTATGCAATTTTAGACTACCACATTTTTTTCCAGGGGGTGGGATTAGGATCTTTGACAATATTTTTTTTTTTTTTTTTGCAAACCCCACATTTTTGGCGGAAGAGGGATTAGCTTCAAAATCTCACCCGTACTATTTTCACCGCATTTTTTTTTAAATTTCCAATTACACAACCTTTCATCTATGCAGTTACTATCTGAAACCTTTACTTTCTAACGAAGCAACATCCAGAATTTCTTGTTTCTCAAGTCCACCCCTTTCTACATACACAAACACACACGGAATTGATCTAAAACAAAAATAATCCCCCCAAAATAATAATAAAGAACTCACCTCTCCTCGGGTTTTCCCCCCACACTATGCATAAACTTTCCTTGATAAATGGTATTGTATTACTAGAGATATTATTAATGTATTATTACTAGAAGTAATAATAATAGTAAGTGCTATTTAATTATAGAAGGCAGCATTCTGCTTCTGGATCGGCTGCCCCTGCAGCTCCCTCCATGTGCCTCCTGATCTCTTTACTTTCATTTCCAGGTCTCGCTCTCTCTCGCTCGCTCTCAGCTGCACCAGCAAGAGAAAATGCCTCCCTGCATATCCTCTGGGCCCTAGAGGCTACCGCTTTCCATTACAAAAATCCACAAATCTTTCCCTTGAGGCTGGTTTTGAGATTCTTTAAGGTGAATTAGGTTTTAAAAACAACAAAAAAAAATTTAAAAAATAAAGCGCTTCAGCAGTCGACTCTCCGTTCTAATTTTAATGAAACATTTTTTTTCTTCCTGGTTATCTTTGCTGATATAAAAAAAATATACCCCAAGAGAAAGCAAAGCTGCCTCTGCAGAGGGAATGCATGCATACGAACGCGGCGAGGTTAAATCTCAATTAATATTATATTTTATATGTCTGAGTATTATACAATCTGCATATATTTTATATATATACACACACGTGTATATATGTTATATATATGTAGATGCATATATGCAGCATTAATAAACCATATTAATATTAAATTTTATATTATTGGGTAATATACAATCGACATATATATTATATGTATATAGATGATATATATATTTATATTTATGCATACACATGTGAGTTTAGGCACTTTTTGGAATCAGATTTTTGGCTGGTTTTCATCCCAAATCCCTCAATATTTCCAGCAAGTGGACTGAATCTCCAAGCAGTCCCTGCCCCGGGAAGAGACCTGCTGGTTCAGGAGGCTGAGTGGGACGTGTTCTACCATGGGCAGGGGTTGTGGAGGTGCAGACACACAGACCATCTTAGCCGGGGGCTCACCCATCCCCACCCACCTGCACTAACTTCAAATAACCTCTGCAAGGAGTTCTATGCTTGTACAGCCTCCCTGGTAGAATAGTTTTCCTCTCCCTAAAGGATTCTGTCTACCATTAGATTAATAATTTCCAGACTGACACTGGCTTAAATTACCAGCTTTTTCCCAATCTAATCAGTGACCTGTTTACTCCTGAGTGTCTCACTTCTCTGTTTACAGTGACCCACAAGAATGTCAGCTTGTGCTCTTACCCCAAGAGAAAGCAAAGCTGCCTCTGCAGAGGGAATGCATGCATACGAACGCGGCGAGGAAGTGAATTGTGAGACCCCCCCTGGGATTCTCACATTGGTGAAGCAGTGACCCTTGTGCCCACCCATTTGTGCTCGCTGGACGGGGGCCAGAGCCATCGCTGATGGCCGAGCAATTATCTGCTCCAGCCAGACCTCACTCACTCCACCCCGCACTGCTGAGGGGGTTCCCTGTAAGTAAGATTATCTGAAAACATAAATCTTTGGGTGGAAAGGAATATACATTAACAAACAAACAAAAATAAAAAAGCCAAACAAACAAAAAAAAAAAACAAACCAAAACAACAACAGAACCAAATGAAATACAAAAATAAAAGAAAAAATTGTTTAAATCTCAATTAATATTATATTAAAAGCCAAACAAACAAAAAAAAAAAACAAACCAAAACAACAACAGAACCAAATGAAATACAAAAATAAAAAATTGTTTAAATCTCAATTAATATTATATTTTATATGTCTGAGTATTATACAATCTGCATATATTTTATATATATGTAGATGCATATATGCAGCATTAATAAACCATATTAATATTAAATTTTATATTATTGGGTAATATACAATCGACATATATATTATATGTATATAGATGATATATATATTTATATTTATGCATACACATGTGAGTTTAGGCACTTTTTGGAATCAGATTTTTGGCTGGTTTTCATCCCAAATCCCTCAATATTTCCAGCAAGTGGACTGAATCTCCAAGCAGTCCCTGCCCCGGGAAGAGACCTGCTGGTTCAGGAGGCTGAGTGGGACGTGTTCTGCCATGGGCAGGGGTTGTGGAGGTGCAGACACACAGACCATCTTAGCCGGGGGCTCACCCATCCCCACCCACCTGCACTAACTTCAAATAACCTCTGCAAGGAGTTCTATGCTTGTACAGCCTCCCTGGTAGAATAGTTTTCCTCTCCCTAAAGGATTCTGTCTACCATTAGATTAATAATTTCCAGACTGACACTGGCTTAAATTACCAGCTTTTTCCCAATCTAATCAGTGACCTGTTTACTCCTGAGTGTCTCACTTCTCTGTTTACAGTGACCCACAAGAATGTCAGCTTGTGCTCTGCAGCTGTGTACTCTGCCAAGATTCAAAGGCAGATGGAAGGTAACACCTGAAGTGTACCAAACTTGCTTGATATTTAAAATGCATTGATCAGAAAAGGAAGGACTTTATTACACTGAGTAGGATTGGCTTCTGACAGCATTGCCAACACAATATGTTATAAATAAAAAGTTATCTATTTTTTTTAAGGTTGCAGAGTTAAAACCGGTTGGACCAGTTGCTGTTAAGTTAGCTTCATTGTTAAGAGTTCTTCTTCAATTGCCTGTTAATGGCTGGTGATTTAGCCATTGTCCCCCTGGTGCTTACCAGGGAGCGACACTGGGACCCTGCAGCAGCAGGGCATGGGAGCGGCATCAGAGCTAGTATGCAGATGAGAAATGCATTGCACTAAATCTTACAGTTCTCCAGGAAAACCCCTAAAAACAATGAGCCAACATAGAATTAGGGGGATCTAGGTGATGTCTAAGGATGGGCGCGCAGTCCAGCGCCTGCTTGGATCCTTTTTGCTTCTCACCCTCACCTAAAGATGTTAACTAGGGAGAGGACCCGAAGTGTTGGACTGAAAAGGCGGAATCTGCTAATCTCTTGTGAGGACGCAGTCCCCAGCTGTGCCTGCAGACCAGCGGACAAAGCTGCATCATCATCCTCCTCCTCCTTCGTGCCACTCCTGGGAGCAGCGGCGGCGTGGGCGTGACCCGTCGATTTCTCCCCACCTAAGCTGATTCTCTTTAATAAAGGCATTAAAAAAGGAGAAAGATCTCCTGCCCATTTATTTCACAATAAACTGGTAATTTATGAAATACAGGCTTGTGTACTTGTATAGAGTACTTTATGATACTGGAGAACATTAATGCTCTTCACAATATTTTATTACAATGCACATTTTTAGGTAATGGTTTTGATCCAAAGATCGCTCCTATCCATGGATAAGACAATGTTTATTTTTATTAACTCTTCAGAAAATTTGTTATTTCTTAATTTAAGGTGGTGACACTGATAATGACTAGAACCTAAACTAAGCTTGGCCTCTGGTACTGGGTAAAATGTACATTAAATGACAAACCCTGTTGATGGAATGGTTTTGGGCAGAAGAAAGGTGGAGCAGGTCTGGAGGCAGAAAGCAAACACAGGGAGAGCAGATATGCCAGCTCACAGTGGGAGGACAGCCCTGCAGAGCCATCACCAAATGAGTCACAGAGCCCAGGACACCTCCAACCCTGCAGCACCTGTGAAAGGGAAGGACATCTCCGCTGGATGAGAAGAAAGGTTAAGAGGTGATGAGGAAAAAGAGGAACACAACCAAAATTACACACAATCAAGAGTTATGCTGGAACAAACACTAGTTTTTAATTTAAGAGCATTCATTGACAGGACTGCCTTTCTCCATTTAAAGTCATGTTGTGCTTTCCTCCATCCCAATTTCCTTTGTCTGTAAGACTGAGAGGTGTCCTGCGAGGTCATGGGTTGGCATGTACCGCTCCTCTCATGAAGTAAAATCTTTCCTTAGCAGCTAACATGAAGATTTTCACAGTTTGCAAGTGCAGTTATTGAGGTCTCAGTCTCATGTGCAGGTAGTCAGCAAGAGTCAAACACTGCAAACCCCTGCTACAAACCAGATACAGTGTCATAGAAGTTGCTTTAATTTGTAAAGCTATTTTTTAGGAAGAATGAATGTATGGATCTATTCAACATTGGTATGGTACACCTACATTCCAATATAGCTGCACCTATAGTCAATGCCTTTATTCTTGCCCCTCTGGCAAAACCAGAATTTGGAAGAATGACAGGGAAGGGAATCTGATGTATTTGATAAGATCCTGTTTATTACTAAAAATTGTGAGGAACTAATATCCCATGCCAAATTTCTTGCTTATATTTTCCAGGTTCAAGCTCCTTCTTGAGATCACACTAATCTAGTTCCTCATCAGCTCTATGTATTCTGGCAGCTTTATGCTTCTCACATACAGCCAGTCTAGCGTTTAAGAGGTTCTTAATTTTCTTCAGTTGCAAAAGAAACTTGTCTTACTATTTATGAGGCTGGTCACCCAGCACCATCAACTACTGACATTCTTTTCTTGGCTCCATGTAAGCATTTGCTGCTGCTTATTAAAACCACAGGTGGGAAATTTGTGAGAGACTGGAAAATGCCTCTTACAATGTTCCGGGACTAAACAGCAGAACAAATCCTACCTATGGCCCTCCTCAGCAGCGATCCCTCCAGGTATGCCACCTGAAATGGAACCTACATTGGTGCCTGTAGGGTGCAGAGAAGGGACAGAGGCGCTGTGCAAACCCATGCAGCAGCAGGCAGCTCTGTGCCCAGACTCATCCCATGTACTTTTGTTTCCATACTCAGGAAGAAAACGTCACGCAAATGTGCACACAAACCAAGGCTTTTTTCCATCCTGGAGCAGGAATGACTTTGCGCTCCAGGGTGAAAGCGACAGATGACAGTCGTATGCTGTGCCAGAGGAGGTTTAGGGTGGCCATTAGGAAGAACTGAGTCACAGAAAGGGTGATGGGGTATTGGGACGGGCTGCCCAGGGAGGTGGTGTTGTCACCGTCCCTGGAGGTGTTTGAGACTGGATGTGGCACTTAGTGCCATGTTCTCGTTGATAAGGTATTGTTCGTTCATAGGTTGGATTCGATTATCCCAGAGATCTTTTCCAAGCTAACTGATTTTGTGATTCTGTGAAATGCCCTCCTTAGCAGAACGGTCTGCGAGTACAAACTGGAGACTCCATGGACATTATCTAGGCGAGGCTTCACATCAGAAGGTGCTCGTGTCCCACCTGCGGGCCTGCGGCAGCTTCCCCAGCGACACTTCACGGACGGGGGATGTGAGCACGGCCCCGCTCAGGCCGCCGGAGCACCCGGAGCCCAGGGCAGGAACAGGACTACAGCTCCCGGCGTGCCCCGCGGCCGCCGCCGCGCAAGCCCCCGCAGCCCCGCCCACGCCCGGCGTGGCAACACCGGCTGCGGCGCGGCGATGGAGCGCGTCCCTTGACGTCACGACGCAGCAGCCAATCCCGGAGCGGGGAGCAGAACTGCCGGCGTTCAAATCCTCCGCCTCCCCCGCCCGCCCCTCACCCAGCGGCCCCGGCGCGGCGGCGTGAGGCTCCCGCGCCTTCCCCGGCGGCGGCATCCCCGAGCAGGTGAGGGGGGAGGCGGCAGCCGCTGCCGTTAGCGGCCGGCGGCGGGGCCGTGCGTGAGCGGCGGCGATCCCGCGGGCTGACGCGCTCCTCGGCCCCGCCTGCGGGGGGCGCTCCCAGGCGCGGCGGGGTCCCCGCTCGGGCCGCGTCACGCGTGTCCCGCCGCGGGTCCCTGTCCGCGGCTTCGGCCCCGTTGCGTGGGGCGGGGGAAGAGAGGAGCCCTGGGTCACCCCTGGAGCCAGCGGCGCTCGGAGGCTGGCGGGGGCCGGCGGGGCGGGGGCCTCGGGCTGGCGCCCCGCTCCGGCAGGCGCCCCGTTGCTGGGCGAGCAGCAGGTAGCCGGTGTGTTGGCTGTTGGGGTCGGCGCAGTGTGGTAATTAAAGTATTCGTCTGAACTAACTTCTGTGATCCTCAGGGAGCGTCAAGTTTCATACAGCCCTTAAGTGAAAAGGAAACTTGTCGTTAGGCATTTTCAGAGCTTTGTTGTGTTTGCCAAACAGACTGACTCTTCCTTTTTTTTTTTTCCCCCCCTCCAAAGCTTTCTCTGCGGAAGGATTGGCAGTGAGGAGACCCCTGGTAGGTTGACATTTGGGTGTGGCTGACATGTGCTACAAAATGTGCTTCAGGATGTGATGCTGGATTTGTATGTTGAGGTTAGGAGGTAGTCTGTGTGTAAAGTGAAGAATGACAAAGGTGATTCAAGGGAAAGAGAAGCCAGGAGGATGTGAACATCTGTAAGGAAGATGATCATAGTAAAATGGAACTGATTTTTAAGAGTAAAGTTGTTAATTGAACTAGGTGGACAGACTAACTTCTGCAGATTTTAACTTCTGTTCCTGTCTGGTAAAGCCTTCATGGTTTGGAGGATGTCCTCTTTTTCTTCCTTCTCAGTGCTGGATTGGCAGAGGCTGGAAATATCCATGAGTTTGGTATCTGGGTGGTCTGGTAGGAATGGAGTAAGTTATATGGGTTTGATGCCTTAAGTTTTAGCTTTCATATTTTTCAAGTTCTGTACTGCTGCCTTAGTGTGTAACTCTGAACTTCGTATAAAGTGTTAGCAAGTTCTCTTCCCAGGGCAGTTAGACAAAGCAATCCTTTTCCAGCCTGGGAACCAAGGACACTGTTGCAGCTTCAGGCCCAAAAAGTGTAAACAGCAAACTGAGGAGAGCAATCTGGGAGGATGGGACTTCATAACCTGAAGCTGTAATTGGAAAATTAACCCCAATATATAAATGGACCAAAACTTATAAAAGTGTGAAAACTTGTGACAGGGTGTCCATCTTGGGTGGAGCCACGGCCGGGCTCTTGTACTGCCCAAGGAGTATCCTTTGAAGGCCTTTTAATAAATACCTACTTTATTCCTTGAACTCTGTCTAGCCTCTGCTCCAGGTAGCCTCAGTAGGCATCAGGTTTCTTTCTACTGACAGCACCTACTTGAGAGGATAGTTATCCTAGAAAAGTTACGTTCTTCAGCCTTGGAGATCGTCACCCCTTGTTTCCAAAAGAAATATTAAAATTAAAGACCTCTGTAGAGAAGTCATACTCTGAGGAAGCTGGAGGCTTTACAGATGGGTATCAGGAGGAAAATATGGAGCTTTTGTATAGGGAGTATTTTAAAACCAGCACTGTTGACGTCAAGCAGCTACAAGAGTGTGGGCTCACTTCTAATCAGACAGGAGTGGAAGGGAACCAGTTTTCTGTTGTAGGAATGGAACTTCATTCCTTCTGACATCTGAAGTCTAAGTGTGTGGTTTCTAAGCATTGGTTGTGTGTAGCCTTTTATCCCAGCAGAGGCAGTGGGATAAGAAATGTACTCTGTTTATCCTGCTCAGTGGATGGAGGCCAGTTCCTTCAGACAGTGATTAATATTCATTGAATAATGCTATGCAGATGCTACCAGGCATGGTTAGCTTCAAACTTAGGCCTCAAGGGTAGATTCAGTAATTTATTGTAGGTGTAAGATCATCCTGTTTATTTGTGTGGAGCATCTGAAAGGAGCGAGCACCCAGGAAGCTGGGAGAGTTTTGTATGCAGCACACACAATGTTTTCAGCAACTCAGTGCTTCTGGAACTGTGCTGACAAGGGCACTTCTGGGAATATAACCGAAAAGGAAAAGCAACTGTGTTCATTCTAGCTTGCTTTGGCGAGCAGGGGAAGCGTGCAGCACATTTAATTAAAGGATGGATGTTGAAATGAGAGGAATATTGCGTTGTAATTGTTAATCCTGCACAAAGAGTAATGTCTTAATGTGGCCTTAATCCATAGTTTTACCTACTGTTTATTTATGAAGTATATTGTCAGTGTTGGAAGAATCAGCACCATCTGACTGACTGGCTGGCTTTGGAATATTAATCTAGTTTAGCTGTCTTAATTGAGCTCTGGGGAAAAGTAGTAATGACATTGAAAACTCAATTAGGTATCTGAGTAACAAAAACCACATTAGTGTTCAAATAAGTATGGTTATTTGTATAGATTATGTATTGTAGCTAGAGAGTTTTTATGATGACTGTTTCTTTTAATTGACAGTTCTTAACTTTTGGAAAAAAACGGGA